ATCTTGTTCGCCGTCTGTGATATACTGGCTGGATACCTGCTCCATGTGATACTCGTTGGTCGGGGAATGGATGTTGGACGCGCGGGGAAATACGTGGCGATTTGGTTGTTGAATCCGATGGTCGCAACGATTAGTACGCGGGGGAGTAGCGAGGGGATTCTGGGAGTGCTAGTCATAGGGTTATTGTGGGCGGTTTTGAAAAGAAGGATTGTGTTGGCCGGGATGTTATTGGGATTAGGAGTGCATTTCAAGATTTACCCGGTGGTGTATGGGATTAGTATTCTTTGGTTTTTAGATCGGGAGACGATTCCTGGTTCTGGAAGCAGGAATGTCGGAGGGAAAGGAATGAAGAGGGGAAAAGTAGAGAGGGAGAGTGGAAACGATGATATCTGGGGGAAGGTTATGGGGTTCATGAATCGGGAGAGGATTATGTTAGTGACGGCTAGTCTGGTGACATTTATGGGACTTAATATCCTGATGTATTACATGTAAGCCGCTCTTCTCCACACTATTTCAACCTCCCAAACTCTCACTAACAGACACCCTCAGCTATGGATACCCCTTCCTCCAACACACCTATCTCCACCATCTAACCCGCATCGACCACCGACACAATTTCTCACCCTACAACACCCTCCTCTATTTGCGCTCCGCCTTCCCCTCCCCCTCCCCCCTCCCCTTAGAATCCCTAACTTTCATTCCTCAACTTCTCCTCTCCACTGTTCTCCTTCCCCTCGCCCTCTCCAAACACGACCTGCCCACCACCATGCTAGCGCAAACCCTCACCTTTGTGACCTTCAACAAAGTAGTCACATCCCAGTATTTCCTCTGGTACACCTGTTTACTCCCTCTCTACCTCTCTACCCCCTCTTGTAGCCTCATAAAGTCACCACGCAAGGGGATATTTGCTCTATTTTTGTGGGTTGCCACACAAGCATTTTGGTTACATCAGGCATTCGAGCTTGAATTTTTGGGTTTGAGCACTTTTGTGCCCGGCCTATTTGTGGCAAGCCTCTTATTTTTCGCCACGAATGTCTGGATTTTGGGTGTCATTGTGAAGGATGTTGGTCGGGGAGCGGCTGCTGTTTCTGGAAAAGAGATTTGAGGTTTGGGTCTAGAGAAGAGGGTCACAAGGCAGGTAGGGGAATAAGGGGAAGGCTGTTCACTAGGATGATGAGTATCAATATGTGCGTCAGATGAAGATGTATATAGAGAGTAGACATATTCCACACATCGGCCTGTACACACATTCTCACACATCCATATTAGCAACCAATTAGCAATGATTCTCATGATTTTTACATATGATCTGCTGAGAGTTCTCTATGGATTTAGATAGGAACGTCTCTCTTGCTGTAATTTGGAAATGTGAACTGAAATCGCCGACTACACATGAAACACCCTTCCTTTGCTTCCAGAACTCGAGTCGAGAACGCCTGCTAATGCCAGATAAAAAAAGTCCTAGCTCCAGTTCCATTCCTAGCCCATTGCCAAAGCCATATCCTCAACCAAGTCCTCTGCTCAAAAATTGTTTTACAATACCCTTCCCTTATACTCCGATGGAAAATATGCTAGCAGTGAGACGATATCCTTCTTCAGCTAAGATTGCCCACCATATGTGCAATGCGAATTTGTGACATGATGTGATCTCATTCGTTTATGTAATTGTGATACCACCCGAAAGTGCAAGATAATTTGAAACTTTTATAGAGAGTGGTCGAAATTTTGAGAATGTAGTAGGCGTGATGTATTGTCCATCCTTGTTGATAGCCAGTTCCCCAAGGGTTTCTGCTTTCTCTGCGAATGATGCACTTGGTCGACTGCTCGCCAATGCATCGACGATTGCGGGGCTCCATATTCCCGTGCATTGGTTATTTTTTAGTTCAAAATATGGGTTGAGCGGTGGAATTTGTGACTCTGTAGCACTGTTAATATCATCCAGGCAATGGGAAAGTTGCTAAAACTCACCAAGATCTATGAATCTAATTCTCAGGTACTCAAGGGCCGCCAGCTTGTTCAATGACCGTACACTCGACAATACCAATGCTTCGAAGGCCGAGATAAAGGACATGTCACTTATACCAGATCCGTCGTTCCATTGCTGATTAGGGCGGCAGCAATTCTTGACGATAAAGTCTATACTCTTCAATCTCGAGGTACGTTGATTTGAAATTTTGGCCGCTGTGTCGAAGAATCCACGACAAATCCTACCGGTATATGCCAAGTGCTCGAGAGTTGGAATTGATTTGGCCAGTTCATCGCAGAAATGCGTCTTCTGGGTAACCTTCCTGAAGAAAGCAGGTGATACAGTTTCTCTGCGATAGTCGTTTTCAAGACATAGGTTGAGATGTGTAATGTTGTGCGGTATCCGGGGAGCAATCTGCGCGATGCAAAGGTATGACTTCGACTTCGGTTTGGCATAAGATCCGTGCCATTCATTGAGGTTTGGTAATGCTGTCGCGATATTCTGGAAATCTTCGTTCGTACGTATAATATTCCATTGTCCCTTGCAGACCAGAGTTCGGATAGTACGGATCTTCGGCAACTTTGTTTCATTCGGACGGAATTGCTGAACTTGAGGGGGCTTCTTTCTTTCTCCACCTTCCAGAGTCAGGATAACAACTTCAGGGAAAGTATTTCGAACGAACTGGAATATTTCTGATAGAGTGGAGTTGTTATCTGGGGTTTGGTATGTGACAGGATTCGTAGGTTCTGCGCCGAGATGTGCAAGTGAGCGAATTAGGGTAGAACGGTCTGGATTCGTTGTGGGTATCCGCATAACTCGATCGAAAGGCAACTTCTTCTGTTGAAACACCGGAAACCATATTTCGATGTGCTTTACATAACGACACAGATGTGAATGAGCATAAAACCAATCTAATGACTGCTGAACGGAATCCATGGTTCCCTTGATCTTGAGATGTCTATATAATCGTTCTTGGATAAGACTTCTCCATTGAGTAGAGACAAGAGCCAACTCCGAGACTTCACGACGTCTCGAGTGTCTTAATGCTGTACCCCAGCCCCGAAGCACCTTGGACTTCCCCGGTATAATTCTCGCAGAAGCCGCAGCCCTGAAGCCGAACAAGTGATCGAGAATGCATTCGTGAATTTCAACAGGCAGGTCGCACAAGGGCGAACCCGAATCTGGAGCTTGTTGTTGAATGGGTGAAGGTTCTCTCCATTCAAGAAGTTCCGGCTCGATCTGTCGCTCCAAAATCTCTCCATCTAAAGACTCCTGTCGCGGAAACGGTGTCGATGCCGGCCTTTCGATGTTTAGAATGTCATCGACTTTGGTATGTTCTATCAGAGGTGCTCGCGTGACTGTTGGCGTAGACGGACCCGGAGTGGCTGGGGTTGAAGCAGTCGTCATGATGGGAAACAAATGCTGACTGAGGTCACTCTCTCGTGGTGGATGATTTGAGTACATATTAATATATTTCTTGCTGCCGCGTCCACTCTTCTACGCGCGATAACCGGGATTAATCATGAACAAAATAAAGGTGAAGTCGAAATGGTGGATGGAAGTTAAATTAAAGACGTATCGGTCTGTGATCAAGGCGAGAGTAAGTTGTAGGAAGGCGACGCAGACCAGATGATTTAATGTGGTGGTATTTGGAACAGCTGTAAAATTCGTGAGTATGCTTTGATATGTGGCGGTACGGGATCCTATATGACGATTGGAACGACGGCTGTACGAGTAGGTAGGCAGTGTTGTTTATTGTATCTCGTTGGAGGTTTTGCGCTGGTTGCGTACGACCAATCCTTCGGGGCTGATAAGGTTGCTTCACAATGCATATGTTTGGGAAGGGACCAGAGAGTAAGAGGGAAAAAGAAAGGAAAGGAAAGGAAAAAAGGAAAGGGAAGGGGAAAGGGAAAGGAGATATAAATCTTGAATGGCTGATAATATTTAATTGGGCTATATGGTATTTGTGGACTGTTGGATATGGAAAATGGAAAATGGAATGGAATGGGAAATTGGGTGGTGTTGGTGTATAGTGGGTGTATGGTGTATGGTGTATGGTGAGTGGTGAGTGGTAATAAGTGGTAAGTGGTAAGTGGTAAGTGGTAAGTGGTAAGTGGTAAGTGGTAAGTGGTAAGTGGTAAGTGGTAAGTGGTAAGTGGTGTGTGGTGTATGGTGGGTGTATGGGAAGAGGAATAATAAAAGAGTGACACTACCAGTATAGTTCCGTACCAATACCTACCTAGGTACTCACTAACTAATCTTAGGTCAGTAGTAGGTAATCATAGTAATCATAAGGAACAACTAATCAAGCAGATTGAAGTCAGCCGAACATTACGATCTCCCATCTATAATTTTGGTCTGATCATCAAATAGCAAGCAGGACATAATAATACCACGTAACCTGGATGATATTAATGTTGAAAGCATATCTATTACCTACTGTTATAATTGGTACCTAGTAACATCATCGTACTTTTCCCTCGATGTTGTAATTACCTGGCTAATTTAGTAATTTCACTCATCATCATAAAAAGTCATAAACAATACCTACCTGGCCTGGGTCATCAGTATCAAATTAATTAGGTAACATGCTATTAATACTTGAAACGAAACATAAAACTTCCATATAATTATTGCATTCTCCATTGATTTTCAATCATGATTATTGCTAAGGAAATTAATGGGGGACCGAATCTGCTATTGAAAGATGAAACACTTCACTGCTTAATCATGGAAATTGTCTAGTATCTTCTAATGCTGCCTTCAGTATCGTGTCGTCAGGTAGGTACGTACAGGTACCTCCTACCTAACATTACCGGTAATCTCGTCGTGTGCGGGGGGTTGTGAGTGGAAAGGTATGGTATGAACTACCTAGTACTTCGTATTGTATGCACTCGCGATATATAACTTGAGCTCTTTCGCTGTTAAAAATACCTTTGGTCCGTCTAGCATCTATCTTACATTATATTTCTTTTACCTGATATATCCATCTTACGACTTTTTCTTGTCCGCAAATTTCCCCAGAACCATTGCCTCAATCAATATCACTATCATCGTCGTCATTAGTAGATTGCTCCACCTTGTCTACCCCCTTCTCCCTTCCCCCTTCCCCATTCTTCTCTCTCAAATGTTTTTCAGCAACGTCTTTAGGGAGCTGATCGAAAGGTTTGCCTCCTTCAACACCCGCCTTCAGGTTCCCATTCTCATCCACGTCTTCTTTCAGATAAAGCGTAAACAGAACCACGAATAAGACTTCTCCAGTCTTGCGATTTTTCAATACATATCTGAGCGTATGTGAGCGCTTTTGCTCTTTCCTAATATCAAAAGAAAAACGTGGTTGGCATGACAGATCAAGAACTCGGCGCAATACAGATCATTAAGGAGGGGTTACTTTGTCAATGAGAAAGAAGGATGAATGAAAGAATAACGAACCGAAGACCTTGCCCATCCCAATATTTCATTATCGGCATTGTAAATCCTGGTAATTTGAGAGAGAAATCTACACATGACGATATAAAGTCAGTCTCAATTCTTTGTGTGGGAATACGATGGATATGTCAACTCCCAACTTACTGTTAAAATCTAGATATGCATTAAAGAAATCACACCCATAAGTTCTCCCCTCTTCCCAATCCCACTCTTTCCTATTGGCCTCTGTCAAGAAGTATTTCTTCCTCGCCGCCTCCCCATCCGGAATTCCACACTCCTCCCGGTGTTCCTCACCCTCCTCATCCCCACCCTCCTCAAACACCAACCCCGCATTCTCTTCCTCATCATCTCCCTCTCCTCCCTCCCCAACGTACAGCACATTGAATGAACTAGCCGCCGGTCCATACAAATATGGTTCGTCTGCATAAACATCTCCATCCAACCCTGGATCTACCATCCACTTTACGATTCTGAAAGCTGTGTTGAACCCCGGGGGCAGACGATCCCTAATTGGATGATCGAAATCGTTTCCAAAAACCAAATCATCCGCATTGATATCCTTCTTTGGTTTGAGTCGAAACCCGATACTGTATTGATCTTTATTCTTATCATGCGGTGGTAGAGCAAAGTATGGAGAGGTAGTGGGCGAAGATTTGGGTAGTCCGCGATAATCCTAACGAGGCGGGGTTGATTAAATTTCAAGATGTTCTATTGATGATTTTGGAGCGCATAGCAGAGGGAAAAGAATTCACTTACTTGGATCCTGACATTCAAACCCACCTCGCAAAGTTCATTCTCAATCCTGACTGTCTTTGCTTGATTGACCGGTACAATCTGATGTGTACTGACATCGTATTTTGAACCGGCTGTAACTTGTAAAATGTAATTTTCTGCCATATTTCCTCGAGTATGTCTGCGCTATTTATTTGCGCTATATGTCAATGAAAAGGGATTTTTTTCTCGTGATTGTTACTTGTAAGGGAATTCCTACATATACTACGAGTAGATAGCGTCTCCAATGTTGAAATCTAGAAACTTGGGAGTCTCATTATTAGGTCGCAATCAACGACAAGTAAAATATTTTGCCGGTGATTGTGGGGGTTGAAAGCGGGTGACGTAGTGGCCTAAGCCACGGTGCATGTAACATGTGAATTTTGAGATTCACCCAAAACACTAGAAAAATGTACAAGAGTTCTTAGGGAGCGAAGTGAGCATTTCCTTTAAAAGTCATTGGTTTTAATAGATCAATAGACTTGATGAGAGGTCCGAAATAACTTCGAGATATAAGATAACGCCAAATATTAGAGCAATCATTAAATATTGTCATAAATCTTCATAAAGCGTGATAGCTATCTGCATATTAATTGTTTCCGATCCCCAGTCCTACTCTTTGGGACGAAGGTCCGCTCACGCTCGCACTTGTGCCTCTCTCGCGAAGTCTTCTGCCTTCCATCAAACCCCGGAGACCTCTCTTCTGTAGTCCAATAACTGCACTAATATCGCCCCTCCAAATTTCCCCTGCGCTTTCAACCCTGCCAGATTCTGATGCACTCATGCTTCCACTCAAGTCGCTCCCGCTGACATCACTCGCGGCGCTACTTGTCGCACTCATACTTTCTTCGTCGTCCTGTCTTCCTCCTCCTTGGCCAGTTCCAAGATTACCTACACTGGTATTGATTCGCAAAGATTGCTGCCCATGATATCCTAATTCGTTATCCAATCCAAGCTGCATTAAGGTCTCGGCTCCATTTGACAGTCTGTTGAGACTCCAGGGATCTGCTATATCTGATGGGGTTGAAGTAGAGCGACCACCTCCAGCAGCCATTGCACTAGCATTGAAAACCGCTGCAGCGTTCCTACTGTCCAACACACCATGCAATCGCTCCACCACAGCTTCCAGTAGCCCATCGATCTTGTATGGACGTGCTAATTGCAATAGACTACAGAGTATCTGTGGAGTGCAGAGTGTAGAATTGCTTGGTGGAAGAGACGATGTGTACAGGAAATGAAGTAGAGCTTGAAGTGTGAGCTGTGTATGAGGTAGGTAAAGTGTCCGCGGTCTAGAATTAGGTGGCAAAACAGCCGAGTCGGGAGGAAGAGCCAAAGAGGCGGGATCCGATATGGAAGAGCTATTTAATGTTGATGAAGTAGAGAGATTTGAGGATTGTGCACCGAGACTAGGTGTGATAGTAACACTGCTATTCCTGCTTTGATTATGTCGAAATACGCCTTCTGGACGCAGGGTGGCGGTGTCATTACCGTCTTGCGTTGCTGTGCCCTCGCGAAGTAGTTGAACGAAATATGGCCCCCATCTTCTTGCGATAATGCGAGAGTTGACTGGTATACGTTCGCCGCCAACACAAAGAATGTCCATGTCGGCTAACTCTCTAAGAGCCAAGGCACTTTGGCCTAATTCCTCTGCCGCTTTGGAAAGTGTGCGCCCACCCGCATTCCATCCCGCTTTGCTATTGATATTTAATGAAGGGTTTGCGAAAGGTGAACTGGCCGAGACAAAGCCCGACATTGGTGCCGCCTTCCGAGGATTGTCATACAAACCAAAAGCTTCGAGTTCAACCATGCAGACGTTCGAAAAGTTTATGCGTCTGTGATTATAATCTTCCACAAGACTTCGTTTTCGATTGCCAAGTATAACAAATGTATTCCTTCGATTCCACAGAACACCACGATTCCAGCTTCCTTGACTGAAAACACTGCCGCCAGCATCAATGCGACTCCACGTAAGAGTCCGCAAGTCAAGAGCCCATAATGCATATTCCTGTTTAGAAGAAGTGAGATAAGTCCCGCTGACAACGAAATTAGTGTCTATAACGCCGCCGTTTGGAAATCGAAGCCCGGGAGGAGAAAATGACCCGTGCATAGGCTTTTCTGCCAAGGTTCCATCAGAAGCTCTAACTTGCAGCTCTAGCTTAACATCCAAAAAGTTGTAATTGGAATATATCAGCATTGATGACCCAGGTTCTCTTGAATCTGGAGTAGTGCCACCATGGTCTGGTTTATTAGGTGTAGCCTTGCCTATTTTCGCAGAGACATGACCTGGAAGAGGGGCCACGACACTACGATATGCCCCACAACTTTTTCCAAGCTGTTGAGTACTGGTCCACTTGAGACTCCGTAGATTAAAGACGCTAATTTGCTCAATATAGTGATTTGCACTGTCTTGACCACCCACAACAACCATTTCGGCACCGCCAGTACCATCTATATTCACCCCAATAATACCTTGATTAGGATTTGGCCCTTGAGGATTGTGATGTAAGGCAGAAGAAGGGGCATTCACAGATGCAAATGCTGCTGATGAAGGAAGAACAGTAGCGCAGTGAGCATATCTCCCCTGCGGTGTATCGTTCGTCGGTATAAAACTCCATGTTCTTGATGGCGCATCATATATATAAATGTCAGACATTACGACTACCTCCGGCTGGGAATCCTGCCCACTTTGCGCCGAGGCAGCCATTTGAGCCTGGCTCTGTGGTGGGGCTGGGGACATTCCTCCATAGCACACCAATTTGGTATCGCCAAGCGCACATACGCTGTGAAAGTATCTTGGCGGTGGTATATCTCCAGTAGTCTCAACCTTTGTCCAATGCCGCTGTATTAAATCAAGTTCATATAAGTCGGCTGTTAGGGAAGGGCGTGTTCGTGATAAAATCCGACCGCCAAATACGTAGAGCTTATCGCCCAAGATTGTAGTTGTAGCACCAACCAATGGGTGAGGTTCCTTTCCAGTAGTTCGATGTACGTTGCACATAAGCCCTGACAAATGCGTCGACGGTGTTGCTCCAGAAGTACCAGCTCCGCTTGCGACCGAAGGGCGAGGTTGTTGTGCTGGAGATGGTGCTGCCGACGGAGGCCCGTTGCTCTTTGGTGTCACAACATTTTCTCGATTCTCCTCTGCCCCTTCACCTCCATCTTGCCTGCTAGGAGTAGCAAGACTAGTTTGACTATTGTTCATATCCGTCTTGTATGTACTCGAGACCGACTTGAATCCACCGGATTGGGGTTGGAAAGCGCTCGTAGAATCCAACGTGCTGGCTTTACTACCGGTCGCAACTGGTCGTGACATACCCTCTAAAGCTTTTGGTGTGTCAGGGGGATCTCCTGTAGTATCTTCGATGATAGGGGATGTAGGTGTCGTGGGCAAGGTTGGGAGAGGCTTTTCGAGATTCGCACCGCTCAACTTCTTTTCATTCTGCGACAGCAAGAATTGGTCGGTACTTGCTGAGCGTGGATAGAGGTCTGGCGTAGAACTCTTGCTTGTGTGAATATTGAAAGGTCGACCACGGCTACCGGAAACAGATCCTAGCTTCTTGAGCCCTCTTCGCACACCCGTAAGAAAAGCGCCGTCAGTCTTCTCTGACTCCCCCCTGAAGTCTAAGCCCTCGTCGTCGGTCGAAGATTCGGAGACGTACAATGACTCTATTGAGTCTTTTGGTCGAAGGGTTAGCGGATCCGACATGTTGAATCATGCTGCGAAAGACAAAAAGCAATTCATCAACAGTCACAAAGAGATATCACCAACAACAGATGTCATTTTGACGTGCGTGTGGATATTGAAGCTTACCTTAGAAGTACCCAAAAAAAAACAAGGGCTTCCCCCCAAATTATACTCGGCCTTGTCGAGATCTCCCGATATGTAATCCAAGGGTCAGAAACTATTTCTCGTTTGGGGTGTAAGGACTCAGGAGAGGATAGGAGATCCACTCGCCGCACAGATTACACGAGAAGAATAACGGGGAAAATCGATCGTTCTTCCGCAGAACAGTTTGTAGAGTGTACGATGCAGGTAACCTGTAGCGACGGTTTGCCTGGAAGCCGGCAGTAATCGAGTGATTGGCCCTTTTTCTTCTCGATGTAGTATTTCCGCCGAAATCTTAGAGGATTCTAGGTGCCTATTGTGTCAGATCGGATAGCAAGCCGAACTCAACAGTCTCACACACCTCGCACTTATCGGTACCAGAACTCTCTATACAAACGCGCCTTGTCCCAGCTAAAAAGCCAATTTTCCTAATCTCCGCCTTATTTGGAAAATTGATACCTCTCGAAGCGAGGAAAAAGGAATTTCTGCGGTTCCAGCCCACTTCCTAGCTCTTAGTATGCCGATCTCGAAGTGTTCGAATTTTGATAATATAAATCCCAGTTGCTTTCCCCCTTTAGATTTTTTTCTTTGCGAGTGTTGATATTATTGATTGGAATCTACATGCACGGTTTGTTGTTCCTTTGTTGGGTTATCAATCTTCGAAACTGTAGAACAGCCTTGTAGATGCTCGGACCCGTCAGAGCGTGAATATGATTGCTCAGAAGTACTCTTTGGGGGTAGGAATATAAGGTTCGTCCGATAGTGATAATGGTGCAGATTCCCACGTGCTGCTTGTTTCATGCACAGGAAATTAATCGCACATAGGAGGGTCTAAATGTTTCTAGAAATAATATAAAGTCCATATAAATCTGTATGTGTAATTGGGTGTTTAGCAGATTGAAGTCTTGAAGAAAGTATAAAGAGGAGAAACATCAGCCCCATCTGCTTCAGATTGATTAGTATCTACCAGGAAGATATCTGTACGAGATACGTAGGCAGGCTGGCTTGATAGGCCACCCGATGCGGGAGACCTATCTAGGTACGTACTCCGTGAGCAGACCGTTGAGAGTTGGGACGAGCAGGAAGTCACTTATCATGCTTATAAGTAGCATCTTACCTCGAACTTGCCTACTGATGATAACATAAGATTGATATATATAGAAGCACACGTTAGATCATCTCAGTATGTTCGAAAATATTTCGGAAGCAAATTAGACAAAACACCTACCTAGGTAATGGGATGTGAATCAATACTGACGATGATTCGTAAAAACAAAGTGCAAATCATGTATGCAAATCACTCAGACTGTGAGATAGTAATTAGGCTTTTGATATTTTTTTCTTTTTATTTGCTTGTTCTAATTTAGAATATCCTCCAAAAGACATCCAAAAAGGGAGACCTCATTGAGCCAATCGCCGATTTAATCATTATTTGTCATATCTGTCATTCAATCGAGAAAGCCCCTTCATCAATTCATAATTTCGCTTCGCGCGACACTTATTCTGCCGCAGATGTCTTCTCCTTTGGCAAAGGAGTGAATCGAAGATATGGCTTGACGGTGCGGAATTCTGGGAAGAGGGTTTTGGCCTCCTCATCCTTGACACCAGGGTGGACAATTACGTCATCACCTGGAACCCAGTTGATAGGAGTTGTGATGCGGTGCTTATCACCAGTTTGAAGAGAGTCAACAACACGGAGAACCTCGGCAGTGTTACGACCAGTGGAAGCTGGGTAAGAGAGAATGAGGCGGATTGTCTTCTTTGGGTCGATGATGAAAACAGATCGGATGGTGAATGCAATACCCTTAGAGTCAACGTTGGTGATATCTTGATGGTCGAGCCTGGTTTCTTCATTAGCACATATTTCAAAGTCGTAGAGAAATGGTTGATCATGCTTACATGTCATATGCATAGGCGACCTTTCGCTCCTTGTCACCAATGATTGGGAAGGTAAGCTTGCTCCCGGAGATCTCATCAATGTCCTTGATCCATCCACCATGCGATTCAATTGTGTTTGCAGAAAGACCAATGAGCTTCACGCCGCGCTTGGTGAATTCTGGTTCGAGTTTTGCGAAAGCACCGAGTTCAGTGGTGCAAACAGGTGTGTAGTCCTCAGGATGGGAGAACAAGACAACCCACTTGTCACCGATAAACTCATGGAAATCGATTGGGCCAGTAGTGGTCTCTGCCTTGAAGTTTGGGGCGATGGATCCTAAACGGAGGCTTTGTGCAATGTTAGTAGAGTCCAAGGTTGTATAATAGGAAAGTTGCACAATGCACACGAGAAGGCCTTTGATACTTCTTAATTTTGGCATGCAACTTGTCGCCAAATGGATACAATCGTTACATTCATATCAATAGATTGAAGTTCAGTCTGAAGAATATATCCTTCATGGGGGATCGAGAGGTAAACTTACGGGGTTGGTCTCTCTTCAGCCATTTTGAATGTTTGTTGAGGGTTTGATGAGGTAGTATGGGGGTTGTTTGTACAATGTAGTTGGTATCAAAGTATAAGTAGAGATTGAGAGAATGAAGGAAGAGGACGGAGGAGTTGGGGGGTTTATTAAGAAGGAACCTATTCACTTAGTCCGTTCAATTGAATGATGCCTTATTATTACTTAATCATTGATCCAAGTGTCGCCATCGTAAGAGTTAGGAGGGGTAAAAGAGAAAATCGTAGCACGTAGCTATCACGCCATCGACCTTGTCTGAGCTTGACAAGCCTTCAAACCGGATGTGGTTTAGAGAGGGGTACATCCGGATTATCTGATAGGCTTATCACTTCTGTATCAGAACTCTAAGGAACGAGAAGAGTTTGGCTTTGTCACAATATCAACATTACACTTCGCCCGTTTTGAGAATCAATAATGCTATCATTGTTCGAACAGAGAAAAAAGGTCCCAAGGAAGCGGGATCTGACGGGACGGGACAGACGCAGAAGATGGAGACGATCCAATAACATCAGGACATCAGCACTCAGGCCAAAAGAAGCATAAAGTTTTTGTTTGTCTCTTTTCACTGATTATCGGTATATTAAGTGTGAGTGTGGAATGCTTGTAAGGCTGAGAACCGGAGACTGAGACCCCTCCCCCTCCCTTCATTGTGCTCCATGCATGGTGCGAACACAACTTTGAACCTCTGGTTGGCGGCATTACTGACATAATCCACTAAAAGAATCAAATGATGCGGTGAAGTCAAAGTCAAACTTTAAGTGAAGTATTGATTTACCTGAAGGGTGTTTATACCTCCCATACCTACCATCCACACCTACCCACCTAGGTCCCCGAAAGTACTAGGTATGATTTCATATTATGGAGTACTATGTTGGTAGTTCTATGTATAAAACATTTAGCGGCTGGCAGTCGCTATGTGACAGTTGGAAAGTGTCGGCAATCATAGAATCTCCTTGTCATTCTTAAATTCTGATAATAATAATTTCTTCCTTTTTTCTCGTGGCAACTTTCCTATATTGTCTGATCATATTCGAGACGATCAATGTCTGTCATCCAGAAGAAATTTATCTGGTCGTTCACCACTGCTTCACAAAAGAGCCGAGGTAACATTCAGCTATCTACAAATGGTTCGCATGACCATCGATCGCCGGAGAATATCCATCAGGAAAAGAGCAACGAAGATGGGATTCCAGTCATGGTTTACGATACATCTCTTTTATCGAATCGTGAGATACTTGATTGTAATTACCAATTGATTGGGTGGAGGCGCAACGATAATGTCCATATTCTTCTTTTTCCCTTCAATTTTCAGCCATCTCATATATCAATCTATCACGTGAAGTAGGGTCCAAACGTGATATTGTCCGCAGTTGACAGCCAAGTTCCCCATCTTGATTTTTTAATACTCCACTTCTCCGAAAGAGACCGATCCACCAGTCCGCCACACCTCCCTCTTTCATCATGACCAATCCACCAACCCACCATAAAATATACTTTCCGTTCGGGAATAACAACTCACATTGGAAAATTCGGTGTAAAATCCGCATCTCTGCAGCCAATTCTCGAACTAGAGACGGGTCATCTAACTCATCATGGCTTAATTCATTGAGATCCGCGGTAAACCCTTCGAAGGCTTGTTATAGCTTCAACGGGAACAGGTACCAGGGAGTATTGCTTTCATACATATCTCTATTCAATGCCGGTCATTGCTATTTTGTTCCCATTGAGTCATTGTTTTCTTTTCTCAGACTCTATCGCATTTATATTTTCCATCTAATGCTTAATCTTTATCGTCATCGAATCCCAATCTGAGTATATATTGGAGACATTCACTTGTCTCTATAGTCTGGAGCAACGAAGAATGGGCGAAGCAGAATTCAATATGTCATCTCGTGGTGATCCTAGCAGGCAAACCTCAGTATCTGACTCAACAACCGATTTCGAGGACGATGGCCAGAAAAGGTTCGAGTTCGCCGCTCAGCCTGCAGTGAATCCAGCAACGCAGAGCGCGCTTCATTCGTCAAGCCCAATCATTTATCATTATCTAACGTTCGAAACATTGATCCCTTCGCCTACGAGTAACGTTTCATCCGACGGTTCTTCGGCAACAGCACCACCACGGCCACAATTGAAGAAGTACACTTCACCGTTCGACTGGCCAGAAAGTCGCAAACGATTTACCGTCTTCCTTTCTTGTATGGCCACTATGCTCACAGCCTACACCGCGGGTGCATATTCGCCAGCTGTCAAGCAAATGTCCGAATACTGGCATGTTTCAGACATTGCGATTCTGGTTGGGATCACCACTTTCTGCTTTGGTTAGTATTATTTTGAAGACTACATGACAAGCATGCAGCTAATCTTACCACAAAAGGATTCGCTATCGCTCCGATGGCTCTGGCCCCATTTTCCGAGTTGAATGGTCGGAAGCCAATCTTCATAGCTTCCGGGCTGCTATTTTTTATTACCCAAATTTGCTGTGCCGTGACTCGATCCTATCCTGGCATGCTTGTTGCCAGATTCTTTGTTGGTTGTGGGAGTTCTGTGTTTTCAACAATGGTTGGTGGAGTGATTAGCGATATTCATCACAAGGAGGGTCGAAACACATCCATGGTAAATAGATGGCTACTTTGAAAGTCGCGAAGAAAGTTGTTTCCAGCTAACCTGAATTTAGTCCTTATTCTCGGGGGCAGCACTTTTCGGCACTGGCTTTGGCCCATTAGTGAGCGGCTTTATTGCGCAGAACACATCATGGCGGTGGGTATTCTGGGTACAGGTTATCACAAATGGACTCCTGCTTATTGTGCGTATTTGGACTCAAATCCGAAGTTAACCGAAGGAAATGCTAATGTGCGTCTCATGTAGGCCATAACACTTTTCTTTCCAGAAACGAGAGGTAGCATATTACTGAGCAGGAAAGCAAAATGTTTGAACAAGTGGTACGAAGAACGAGAGGAGGCTGGCTTCTTTGGTATTGATATGCCAACGTCGGCATCAGGTGAAAAATATGAGTCGCAGCGAATAAGATGGAAGGTCAAGTCAGACGAAGAAAGAGAATCGCTCCTGCAAATGATTAAAATTTCCGTCTACCGCCCATTTCATCTTCTATTCACAGAGTCGGTAGTATTCTTCTTCAGCTTATGGGTTGCCTTTGCTTGGGCAGTGCTCTATCTGACCTTGTAAGTATCGAGCTGGATCTAAAAAGTCTATTTTTTATCTGCTAACACTGCATACTCTTAGTGGCTCAGTTCCCCTAGTGTTTGAGACCTCCCACGGGTTTAATCTTCAACAATCCGGCGCTGTGTTTGCAGCTATGTCGATCGGAGCAACAATATCTACTTTCATTTCTATCTACCAAGAGCAATGGCTCGTTGCGTGTCTCAAATGGTCGTCCAACAGCGCAAAAAGTCCAGGCATAATTCGAAGAAAAATCGATCTCTCGTCTCCCGAGGCAAGACTGTACTTTGCTTGTTTTCAATCGGCTTTGCTGCCTATTGGCCTTTTCTGGTTCGGCGTAAGTTATGTATCTTTCACTTATTGTTCAATTGGTTTACAATGTTTCAGTGGACGCAATTCTCTTCGATTCCTTGGATAGTCCCAACTCTTGCCATCGGCTGCGCAACTATGGGAATATACTCGATATATCTGGCAACTTTCAACTACCTCGCGGACACTTATCATCGATATGCGTCATCTGCTCTCGCAGCCCAGAGTTTCTGTCGGAATATTCTAGGCGGTATATTCCCTCTCATTGCAACTATCATGTTTAACAATATTACATTTCAAGGAGCAGCATCTTTACTTGGTGGAATTGGAGCGCTACTGACCATCGTACCTTGGGTATTGACCATTTACGGACCGACCATTCGCTTAAGAAGCAAGTTCGCAAGCGAAATTATGTAGCTTTGCCCAAACAAAACAGTTACTGCTGTTGGGTAGTCATGTCAGTGACGCTAAAAAGTTATTTGCTATTATTCTTTTCGAAAAAAAAAGCCTTTCGAATTTACGATTTATGATACATGACCTTGGCCGAAGAGGCTATAAATTAATGGGATAATTGGATAAGTGCGCAACAACCGCTGAGGATATGCAAGGCCTCAAGATATAATGGAGATGTTTGAGCATGTGGAAAAAATTGCAGTCACATGAAGAAGAATCTTCTGAGGGAAGAAACATTGGACAATAGAGGAGAGTAGAAAATACATACAAAGATAATGAGATATGCTGTACATACATACACAGGGAGAGAATAGATGCAAATTGTATCTACCTTGTGAAACGACGTCTGAGCATTGACGCTGCAATGATTAACATCAAAAGACAACTTTGGGCTCCAGTGAAATTTAATGTGCTTTATATCTAGACTTTACATATTCTTTGTTTAATCCTCCCAGCTGGTGTATGGCCCGGGGATACTTGGATTGACCCCTTTTTGGTAGCTTCTTATGTTATTAACCCCATTGGTCCAAGAACAATAGTACTAGTTCAATGACAAGCTTCAAGATTCACTAGCTTGTAATAAAATCAGAGACATTGGAGAATAATATATAAGCATTCTTCTCCGCAACCTGGGGATCTCCAAATTTGTGAAATTCAAGAGGTCCGACAACTAGCCGAAGTCGGCTCGAAGACAGTACTGACCTTGCTAGCGTTATAAGACCCTGATGGAGATCTTCGGCCAAGGATAACAATTTATTTATTAGGTATCTGCTACCAACTATCGGTCTGAATTGATCTGGAAAAACACAACATTTACCCCCAATCCGAATTGATTTTTACAAAATTGTTCATCAACTTCTGGATTTATATAATAGGGATACCTAGGCACAACCTCAAAACTCTATCAAAGTCCAATACTCCATAATCAAAATGTTGCGCTGGTAGGTATTTCCTTATCTTTTATGCAACCGCTGATATCATAATTCTTTTTGTCTCAGATCTCTACGATCGATAGCTAACATTAACGTAACAGGTACCAAATGAAGTTGGCAGCTCGCCCTGTCCTTACTCAAAGTGTGACATCGGCAGTCCTCTTTGCAACTGGAGATGTATTGGCACAACAATTAGTTGAAAAGAAGGGTGTCAAAGACCATGAAATCGCCCGTACAGGTCGCATGGCACTTTACGGTGGTGGTATGTAGAAAAGAGCTCAAAACAACATCGGGAAGAGATTTTAATAAAATATTTTTAGCTATCTTTGGTCCGATCGCTACCAACTGGTTCAAATTCCTCCAAAACCATGTTGTTTTGAAGAACAAGAACCTCGAAATGGCAGCTCGAGTCGCAGCCGATCAATGTATCGTTGCCCCTCTCAACCTGGGCTTGTTCCTTACCACCATGTCCGTCCTCGAAGGAACCGATCCAAAGAAGAAGATCGAAGCCAACTACTCTACCGCCCTCCAAAAGAATTATATGATCTGGCCTGCTGTTCAAGCTGTCAACTTCAAACTTGTTCCTCTTGAGCACCGAGTCTTGGTTGTCAACATCGTCTCCTTGGGCTGGAACTGCTACCTCAGTTACTTGAACGGTCGCAGTACGGAAGTCACAGTTGAGAAAGTGGTAGAGAAGGTCAAAGAACTTTAGAAAATGTACATCATGGTCACAAATCGGGATTCGTTACACACTCTGCCAATGGCGATTTGATGGATTTCACAAGATCTCGACTGGATAGACTTTTAAAAGTACTGCATCATATCATAGCGAGGCGTTTAGGATTGGCTTCAGTTGTATTACGAACATAGAAGTCTAGATCATATATAAAACAATGAATGCATTTGGGAAGGGGTCAATGATTTTCTAAATAATTTTTGTAAATGTGTTTGTTGATTGATCGGTGACGTATGTTGGATCCTGCTATCTGATATCTGATAGTGGAATACCTATTCTTCGACTTCCTCCCATTTGGACGCGACCTATATATTCATCCAGTCATTTATTGCTTCAAGTCTTCTGTAGGTCATCCTCTATTCATTCATCCACTTACATTGTTTTCAAATATCTCAAAAGTCCTTGATAAATTTCTGCATATCAACTTTTCAAGAATGGCCCAACCAAAATGACCGCCAATGCCCAAATGCCAGTAAATCACGTGATAGTTACCTTACTAAGCATGAAGGGTTCCAGCCGAGCTTTTTCAAAACAGCAAGGGCCACCACCACCCACCACCTCTAATTGCAAGTCTAGTCTAGTCGCATCGCAACTTCAAAAAATTGAAGAAAGTGCTCACAGCCAAAGCAAATCCACCCCTACAATATTAAATCGGAAGAACTTCGATAATCTCAATACATATAAATTAGACAGTTTGCCTGGAGCAACAACTCTATTAAATCAAAAGAAAGTGAACCGAGCATAATCGTCTCAAGACTCTTCCATTATCCATTCACTCATCACCCCGCCACGGAAATAGAATTTCGACTAGCCTCGCATTCAATTCTGCAAGAGCACATCACATCAACTCTAGGAATCTTTTCAGCACTGACTTTATTCCAACTCAACTCTTCTTTCTCCTCCCCTTTACGATCCGTCAGACCCTCAATCCTACCACACATTCGAATATAATACAAACATGGCAGCCGTCGCAGCACAAGCACCAACCGGTGAACAAGTTGACTTGTCAACTATTCCAGTCTCACCTGAAGGAGCCAGCAATTCAAATGAGAACACCAAGCCAGCCACAGATGGTGAACAAATTACTGTATTTCATGATAAGGATAACTTCAACGTCAAGCATCCTTTGATGAACAAATGGACTTTGTGGTTCACAAAGCCACCCAGTGGAAAGGTTGTTTTCCTACCATAAGGTCTTTTTAGGTCGACCATGCTGACTTTAAATGTAGGGTGATAACTGGAATGATCTCTTGAAAGAAGTCATCACCTTCAACTCTGTTGAGGAATTTTGGGGCGTCTACGTAAGTACAATGTTCTTAAGTGCTTTGTCTTTGTCTATCTTCTTTTGACTTTGCTAACTTTTTTTTTTCGCAGAACAATATCGCACCAACCTCGGAACTCGCTCTCAAATCCGATTACCATCTGTTCAAGGAAGGCGTTCGACCTGAATGGGAGGATCAGCAAAACAAGCACGGTGGAAAATGGTCATATCAATTCAAGGAAAAGCGCAATGTTCCTATTGATGAACTTTGGCTCCACGTCATGTTGGCAGCTATCGGAGAGACTCTTGAAGAAGAGGATGACGGAGAGGTGATGGGTGTTGTTGTCAACGTCAGAAAGGGATTCTACCGTGTTGGTGTCTGGACTCGCACAATCGGCAAGAGCATTCCTGGAGGTGGAGATGGCAATGGTGCTGGAGGAAAGGGAAGATCTGCTGAAAAGGGCAAAGAAGTTCTGATGAACATCGGCAAAAAGTTTAAGGAAGTCTTGAAGCTCCCAGCATCCGAGGCAGTTGAATTCTCTGGCCATACCGATAGTGCACACAGTGGAAGTACTCGTGCGAAGGCTAAGCATTCAGTCTAGACGCTTTCGACATGTACACGAGATGAGATACGATTCTCCTTTACCTGCGTTACGATTTCGTGGTTTTCTTTTCTATAAAGGTCCACGAAGTAGGCTAAGGCTAAATGGATGGCGGTTTAACAAAGGTTTCCGGTTTTTTCATGGCAGTATCTGCATGCAGCATTATTGAAGGCAACAAATACCTAAAATCGGCTTCCTAAAACTATGGGGGAGTAGTATTTGTGCCATATTGTTTTTATTGCTCTGCTATTACACTACCGCTTTTGGTGGTGGTTATTTTATGCATGGCGTTATTCTACACTGGGCAATCAATATAGGCTCAGATATCAGAGGTGTGTTCATAGAGATGCGCGAAGCATGAATTTAGCAAAATCAAAGTTACATATCAATGAAAACAATGAGCGTCACAGTGAATGCCAGGCAAGTATGTCGAGAAAGATGTATATGGATATGGGTGTGCTTGTTGCTGTCTTTCATCTGAAGTTTGTGCAAGGAGCAATGAGTGTATGTTTGCTTATGCGGCTTCTTCGTCTGAATCGCACTTGTATTTTCTGCTTGTATGGTTTTTCTTGTCCCGTTCCTCTCCTCCTTTCAGGAGCATTATGTTAGCGGCTTATCGATATATTTAGGTGATGTAATGTCTATAGTATGCATCCTGTTAGAGGTTACAAATAGGGACAGTACAGATGATATATCTACCTTCTACTTGTAAACATGATTGATCCTTTACTACTTTCGCATCAATTGTTTTGCAAGTTAAAATGGTAAATCTCATCTACACCGAGGGCAAATCCCAAAGTGCTCTTCTATAGATGGGAACGGTGATGAATTGATTCGATGTTCTATACATAAGGGCTACTACATTACAACGTATTTCGTATGTTTCTCTAGCCCTTCTATGTTACAATTTTACCTCTTACATTTCATCTCCGCTAATATCATCTACAAAAACGCTCTTCACAAGCACCTTCTTATTGATCTTCCCCATTGCATTCCTCGGGATACTCTCCACAACCCTCATCACCTGCGGAATCTTATATCCCGCCAATCGTTCCTTGAGCGCTCTTCTCATATCCAATGGTCCCCATTTCTTTCCCTCTAGAAATTCTTCATTCAATACTACGACTGCCCCGACTTTTTGGCCCCAGTTTCCCGATGGCACGGCACAGACTGCGCATTCTGATATTTGGGGAAGCGATAGCATTTCCCGTTCTACCTCAAGCGCGCTTACTTTTTCCCCTCCAGATTTAATAATGTCAGCTGATTTGCGACCGCGGATGAAATACATAGGACCTTTAGCCCATTCCTGGTTACTTTTCCCCGCGCTGTCAACATAGCGACGCACAGCCACATCGCCCGTTTTGAACCAGCGACCGCCGCCATCGGGATCATCGACGTGCTCTTTGAGTGTAGCTTCTGGGTTACGCCAGTATTCTTTGAAGATCGTGGGACCGCGGAGCTGGATTTCTCCATCGCGCTCTTTGCCGTTGGAGTCGAGTTCTGAGCCGGGAGCAATCACTTCGTTGGTTTCGGTATCGACGAGTCGGACTTGCACGGTGGGGAGGGGCCAGCCTACGCTGCCATCCACGCGGTCCGTGGGTGATAGACCACAGGAGAGTGCCATGCCGACTTCGGTCATACCGTAGCGTTCGAGAAGGATGTTGTTGGAGGAGAGGTTGGACCAAGCATTTTTGGTGGGAGTGGGAAGGGCGGCGCTGCCGGAGATGTTGAGGCGGAGGTTTGAGGGAGAGATAGCTTCTTTTGCTGCAGATTGGTGTTCGGGGGAGAGATCTTTGTGGGTTTTTAAAAGACGATTATAGACTGTGGGGACGACTGTGAAGAACGTGATGGGTTCCTTGATTTGGGTATCCGGTAGGAAAGGGGCAGCCAAGCGTTGCCAAACGGCTGTGACGTTGAATGGGAAGAGAAACTCGATCGTGGAACCGGTAAACAGGGGTGCAAGAATGGCATTTACAGTGCCGTGAATATGATGAAGAGGGAGGACATGAAGGAGATGGTCTCGAGGACTGTAGTTCCAAGCTTCGATCAGAGATTTTGATTGTGCTGTCAGGACCGATTGAGGAAGTAGAACTCCTTTCTGGTATCTGTAAGTGACTGTTCAAACCCTATATCAATGGGAAGCTCACAGGTCTGTTGGTTGTGCCTGACGTATACAACATCATGCCTCCTTTACCCTCTGATGGCCCTTCCAACGTGACTTTGCCATAGTCTGAGCTCTCAAGCTTTTTCTCAAGTTTAACATGTTTTGGTTTGGATTCCAGATCAGTATTCATCACTTCTTGAGCCTTGCTCTCGAACTTGGTTGAAGACAATAACATTGAAGCCTCGCTTTGGTCCAAGATGTATTGTAATTCATGGGCAGGAAATGCCGGGGACAATGGAACAGCTATAGAGTGTGTACCAAAGATGGAGAGTAATGTCACTATATATATTATCTTAATCTATGCTCTTTCTGCATGTGGATATTTTGGGTTGCGCACCCACATAATCATAGCTATTTTCTACAAGGAAAGCAATTCTTTCTCCTTCTAATCCCTTTTGCCCAGCCTCGTTAGAGAGTTTGTCTCTTCTTTCTGCTACATCGTGTAATAATTGACCATATGTAAACCGTCTTCCAGAGGCTGAATGTATTACTGATGTAGATTTGGGGTCATGGCTTGAGATAGCTTCGAAGAGAGGTAATCTTGGGAGCGTGGATGCCATTCTTGCACTGAATAGAGTAGCGGGAGTTTTTGACAACGAATGGAGGAATGTTGAGGGGTTTCGTTGGAGAAGTGACGGTGATCTTCTGCTACAGAACATTGAGACGACGGGAAGGTGGAGAGGCATTGGTAAGGGTGGTTGATTGGATAGCAGATAAAACCAAATTACAAGGAGGCCTGTCGAGAGATGCTGCTAATCGTCCGAGGTCCGGAGTGGAGTTGATGCTGCTGAGGAACGTATTGATAAGTAGGTAGTATATCGGTCGAGATCGATTTGCTTTTAGGTAATCCTTATTGCATCTACCTTATGTTGAAAATATAATACAAATGCACTTTTTCTAGAGCCAACATCTTGTGGATAGTCTATAAACGGTCTAGAGATCTAAACATTCTTGACCGAAGATGGACTTCGAGATTCTAGAATTGTGATTCGGGAAAGGCTACGGATGACGATGCGGGCTGATTCCTGGATAAAAGTCTAGCCTCAAAACTACAAGGCTCTTTCCTAATCCTTGCTATAGTTGGCGAGGCTGTCATGCAACACATAATTGTACCATACAGTCAAAGAAATATTGGAACAGTTTGCGCGCCAATCAAACATTCGTCATTACCATCTTCTCAATCTATTGTGAAGCAATAGATTAATGCTTCGCGTTATTCGTCCCGCTGTCTCACGGCGCTATCTATCAACAATCATGGCATCCAATACTCCATATGAAGATATCATACGCACTCGGGTGAGTATCCCTCTCCCCTCATTTCCATTTTATTTATTGTCTCCGCTAACATATCGTTCTAGCTGACAGAAGAGTTGAAACCTACCCGTCTTGAAATATTCAATGATTCATCCAAACACTCACATCACCAAGCTATGGCTGGCTCAACGTCTCACGAGACCCATTTTCGAGTCGAGATCGTATCGGAAGCGTTCACCAAAAAGATGCAACCTGCAAGACATAGAATGGTGTATGCCTTACTGAAAGAGGAAATGGCAAAAGAAGGTGGCATTCACGCTTTACAGCTGAAGACGAGGACACCCGATGAAGAAGAACGGCAGAAGGCAAAGGAGGAGGAAGAGGACAAGGGAGCGGTTGTTGCTGAGGCAAGTGGACCTTAGTAGAGAGATTTGATGTTTTATCTGGTGATCGAGATGCTTCCTTCGAGACATCATTACAAAATAGCAGATTGGGAGGTCAAAGGAAACAGCTGTGAAGCTGTGTGTTTATGCTATTGCTTGGTTGTGGAGTTAAAGGCAGATGTGAACATACAGAGCGAACACATTGAGCGAAAGATTGCAGCGTTTCATCTCATGAAAATCTAAGCATACACATTACCTAGACCATTTCAGTCGGCTCCTCGATGTCTAAATTCTCGCTTTGGTCAAAGTTATTTGCGCTCAAAAACGAACATAGATTTTCCAAGATAAATAGTCTAAGGTGAACGCTTTCTATATTTGCTTCATCGCTGCTCAACTGTAAACCAAGACCAAAGGGACAGGTGCTTGATTGAATCAAACAGGCAAGTCAACTGTCAAAACACCCAGCTGTGCCGCTAATGCGAGAAGTGGATTTACCACAGCTTCGACATCTCCGGTTTTGATCGGAATTCTATGATTGCCATCCCATTCAATCACTTGCGCACCGCCTTTCTCGCACCAAATTTTGAGCAATTCTTGGTGTAATTCCAATCCCGGGTCTTTGGAGCCATGAACATGAATAGTTGGCAAAGTCAAAACGTCATTCTCATCCACCGGTCCCCATCTATCCTGGTCTCTCTCCAAACTTATCAATGGTGGTCTTCCCGCCATCAAAACCGCAAATCTCCAGTTATGACCCTCCAAGTCCCTCCCTCCTTCTTCTCTGATCTGCCTCCTCAACAACAAGCTCCCAGCTATCTTCGCCCCCTGACTAAATCCCAACAATCCTACCCAGTCCCCGGTAGCTCCTTTAGCATCATCCTCTCTCATCGCTTTCTCAATACTCTCTTCGATAGCAATCACCTCATCACGTGTATCTATTACTTCATGTTCTGGTAACCAGCCCAGCCAGCGTTTAAAAGGTCCACAATCCCCATAGACACTTGTAACATCAGGCCCGGCACCGGATTCAAAAGGTGCTTCGGCAAATATGAGACGGAAATAAGGTTTCAAATGCAAAGAGAGGACGCGACATTGCATGGTGAAGATTCGAGCGTTTGTTCCCCCGCCGTGGAGACAGAGTAGCCGGGGTAGCTCAAGTGTGGGGTCGTGGTGTGTAGCCATTATTGCGTGCGGATAGCGGAGTTTATGGTTTGGGAGATCTATGAGTATTGTGGAGAATTTGGGATAAGATATGATTCCTGGATGAGAACGAGATATAAATGTGCAAGTTGTTGGGCTGATGACAGGTAAGATCAAGGTATGCTAAATTTAGAACAGGTAGCCTTTTGTGCTACGTTCCTATTGGGCTTTGACAATCAGTCGATCGCATTTCAGAAATATATGGAAATTGAAGCTGATCCTTAAAATCCCATCAACGATGAATGCATACGAACAAGTTCAATACACCCGGAAAAGTCGTCAGGATTATGTTACGGATGTCCGTTTCAATAGAATTGAGGGGTTCGAAGGAGTGTTGGCGGGGAGGTGGGGTCTGATAAGGTAAGGATCGAGGGGTCCAACACAGATCACTTTGCGGAGTTCCATCCCCGGAATAGTACCTCACTGATTTTATACCTTGAACCTTATCTGTTCAGACGTCCTAAGCAGACGTGTGCTATTTCGAAAGCAGAAGATGAGCTTTTGATATTTTCAAAATGAATCAACATGAACCGATGAACAAGAAAACTGGGCAGTTGGAAGCGATATTGCGTGGAGAAATTCTCTCGCCAGTGACCTCAAGAGTCTCGAGGCAGTGCGTCCAATAGTCCAAACTGCAGTTTGACAATCGAAAGCTCTCATTATCTGAAGAGATTCCCATCTACGAAATGCACGCAGTCTTTTGGATTATTTGGATACTCAATTTGGAGTAGTGGACCTTGAGAGCTTCTCATCATCGGATTATAGGCCGGACGAGTTACTTAAAGGTCAAGGACCTTCTTGTACCTACAATGTCACCCAATCACTTGTAAACCACAAGATTAAGGCAATAGCGCGTGTATTTCTGTCTCTATCAAGTGATGGCTTTTTATCATACTTGCCTCCAATTACTGTTGCCAGAATAACTCTCAAAGGCTTCCATCCACCCTTTGCCATAACTTTTGTATATCTTGATACTATGGAAAGTTCCATTCTCCCTACAAGCCTAGTGTCATTTTGTCGATGAATTTTGTGATTTATTTTAATCTGAAGAATTTACTTCTCCAATCTGAATTGTTTTTGGGGGTCGTTTCAAAGATGTGACTTTTCGTGAAAGATGACTTCTATCACATCTCTAACTTGGCCAACTGCCTAACTTCTCATCATCCGCCTGATCTTATCACCTATATCAAGTTGATTGTAATAATCTCGGAACATTCATGTGACAAAGAAAATTGTGGCATTGTTCAGTGTTCAATATTCACAGACTGTTCCTTAGCCAAGTTTCTACAATTATCACTCGCTCTGATTCACATTGAAAACAATGACAAAACAACCCTGCTACATGAATATATATTCTCCAGGCTCATGTCATAATATTCAGCTCTAAGTCACAATAACATCAAAGCCTACAAAGTACACTCTAGCAAAAGCTTTATTCATAGTACCTACTAGCAACCTACTAGCAACCTCTATCAACCCATTTTAAACTTCACCATGTGTACAGAACGCCAAGTTTATTATATCTGCGGAGATTTCACTCTCAGTATCGAGGGTTGCACTCGCCAGGAATTAATGAATTGTCGTCCAACTGATTGTCCTCGCTATCAAGTGGTAGTGGTGAATGAAACGAGAGTTTGCATTGTTTGCTGGAGAGAGAGAAACACTGAAACTTCCATCGAGCCCGCGAGCTGAGGGCTCAGGTGGAGTTTGAAGAGTATCGTATGATTTCATCTGTAGATCAGATGAATATGGAGTTATTGAGCGAGACATAGTAGGTCTGGTACTTACTTTACTTGCTTTTCCATTGTAATAAAACATTTTTAAAAAACATTAAGTTCAGTTCTTGTATGAATATCACGTAAAAATAAATGGATGTGAAATCGATATTCCCGTCAAAAGTCACAAAAATATAATTCAAGCTTGTCCCCTTCATTCTTGCCTCATCTATGCAAAGTGTAGTAATCTTTCGTCTTCAAATCAAACTCACAACACCGTTCTCCTCGCGTCTACCGATAAAGATCGCGGGGCGTGAGGAGTGGCTCACAGCTTCACTTCCAGAATCAAATCCACAGCAAGTATATATCGTTGAAGGAAGAATGGATTGTCAAAGAAAGAAAGTGTTGTCAAATATATCATTTTTAAACAGTGTTCCATGCAAGACAAAGCACAAGTTATTTTTAAGACCACGAACAATGAGAATCTCAAAGCATCAGTGATGATTGAACACGCCTGTGATTTATGTGAAGAGCTCGTGAGAACATATGTGTTTGTTGTCCACGATTCTACACCTCTGCACTCAGGTCTACTGTTTTGTATTATAACGGGGATATTTGGTTACCGTTTGATCGTCTGAATGTGTTTCATTCTCGTCTCTAGTTCCTTTGTTGGCTCCATTTGTCCTAAGTATTGAATTGTGCAATTCTGATACGAATATCATACCACGCTCCTGATCTGTTCAAACAATTCCTCAACACTCTTATTCAAGTAATATTATAAACCTTGTGATGTACTATGCTAATGTACGCAGGAAAACTCTGCTGGGGTGAGGAATTCCAATTCAAGTTGCACAGAGCCTGATGTTCGACTATATATATATATTGATTTTGAGTACCGTTCTACTTGCTGTACTAATCACAAAAAAAAGCCATACCGAGAGAGAAAATGAAAGACTAAAATCGGGTAGCTGCTATCAACCAGAGGCAACAAGATTCTAGTTCGGCATATTGATAATGTCACTATGAAGTTCGAACCCCTATGCCGTTGTGATTGAGATGATGACTGAGGAATAACTAAGGGAGCTATTGGGTTTGAATTGCTTACTCATTATCTTACAAGAATGTATGAATTCCGATGTTCAATATGGGTCAACATGCGAACATTCTTGTCCTGAATAGGTATTTGACCGAAACACCTCTATCATACGAAATAGCCGAACTTAGTGAGTTGATCACAATCTCACTATTCGAGAGAGAACTTGGTATTGTCAACCCGCCGAAGCTGGTGGAGGTTGGAAATGCATCTTGCACAAGATATGTATCAGATACACACGAGTAAAATCCCCCTCAAAGTATCAGCACCAATTGTCACTGAACTCTAGCTTAGGGACAGATATATTACTTATTGATCTGAATGTCTTGGTCCATTGGATATCCTCATTACTAATTTCACACTGTAATTGTTGGTTTGATTGGTTTCCCTTTGGTCGATAGCAGAAGGGTCGATTTCGAACAAGAGCGGAAGATAAACGTGAGTACCTAAGGCACATAGATGGATGGAAATCATTTTTAATAACTATTAAGGTGCTTTTATCGGCATTGTACTAGCATCACATGATCCAGCTAGCTACTCTACTGTAGCATCAGATTTCCTAGAGTCGCACCCAACATAGTCTAACATAATCTCAATTGGTGAGCGCGACACATCTAACCGCACCCATTTGACCTCCGCCATTATTGATCAAGATTCTAGATTCTAGATTCTAGATTAGGTAGTTGATATTGGGCATTAATTTGCCTCACCCGCGCTCCCAATTTAATGAGAATTGTCACTGATTCCAACTATCTTCATATTACACTACATCGAACCCCTTTCCCGTCCGTATGCCTTCATCCTCGCTCCCAATAGCAAACCCCACGTGGGGTGGACAAGAACACAAATGCCACCTATTCATGTTCTCGGCCTGTTCCGATTTCGGTCTGGCCCGGAATCCAAGGGACAAGATCATCGAATCGAGGCAGCACAACGAGCCGAATTCTTTAGACAACTGGTTTTTGTGTTCCTTGTTTTCGGAACCTTCAGCTACTCTGTCTCCGGCCCGAGATTTTCTTACACCCGAATGCCATATTCAAAATCCTCACGACTTCATGTTTCACGAATTCTGAGACAAAAAGCAATCAATCTAATCTATTTTTTACTGCCTTGGGTGTGCACGTTCGACAAGTATAAGCCTCAGTATACCTTGCACCGCCCTGAGCGCCCTCTTCCGCTTGTAAGGTTACTTCTATTGCATATCCGCCAATATCCGAGACTAGACTAATGCCGACATGGCATTTACTATTGGATTTTGCAAATACCGTTCTAAGAAATTGGTGTGAGATTGTGCAGAAATGGGGAAATGTAATTCTCATGTCGTGATCCTGGGTAGCGAAACACACTCAAACAAGCTTAATTTATCCTATGGGATCAATTGCCGGAGTCGTCAATGATCCTGTACTTATTCCCATATTTCACCGCCCTTCTTATTGATATCACTATAGGGCGGTGATCTTCAAGGCGGGTAGTATTCGCCCTTTTTCAAAGCCCTAGAAGCGTTGTGTACTCGAGTCGGGTATAGAAAGGGGTATCTTTGCATGTTCTTCGTGTAATTCAAGGAGCTTTTCTGGGATTTGGAAAACACACCCGTTATATTGATAGTCAATCACCCGTTCGGTATATCGCAACGAGAAGAGCTTCTTTCTTTTTCTCGTCCTTCATATTGGATTATATCTTTTCATATATATCTACAGTTCTGTGTATCATTTATATGCGTTCACTGACCACCTCAAACGCGATAATCTACTAGTACTATTTAATCACTCTTTCTTTCTTCATTACTTCGAATCCCCAGTCCCCTCGAAGCCTCAGTAACAGCTCTACTTGACTCAACCACAATTCGGACCATCAATCCGACGAAACACAATCCAAAAGACACCTACCTATTCAACAATGTGCACCTCAAGTCAGACATCCTTTTCCTCAAGATCCTCCAAACAATATCTCTCCACACCATCAGCATCCTCAAAGTCAGACTCGACGTCGTCTTCTACCTCTCAAAGAGCCCAGCATGGCTCAAGTGCCTCGCACTCTTCATCTCCATCCGCAATTTCATCCTCATCGCAATCATCCCAACAGGATTCAGCAGAGCACAAGCACCAAGGTGAAGCAATCAAGCGATATGAGAACGAACCCAGAGATTGCAAGTCTTGGGTCGTGGAGGAATACGATGCACATCAGCAACAAGCGAGCAATGAGCATTGGAACGAAGTGGAAAGAGATTTCCAAGGTGTTGAGTGGGCGCACTAAGATTTTCTAGGTGCGAAGCAGAGACTGCTGGAGTTATGGAAGGCGGAGTTTCACTGGGATGCACGAGGTTATGATGTGGCATGGAAAAGAGTCTCAGTACCGTGAATTGGACTCGAGATAGTTTATGCAATGACGGGTTTTACGATTACGATTTTTAAAAGGATATCTGGGAATGGGATTCTTTGTTTCAGATGGCACTTGGCGGGGGATAGAGAAGGCAAGGGGGGAGAGATATTTATACAGATAATTATACGCAAACACTATCAGCTCCTGGGCTGATGAGATAGAGGATGGAATGGCCCAAGGCCGGGAGGTATAATACGCGGAAGGGAATTCTCCATCTTACAAATCCATTTTTTAACCAAATGTTCTTCCATGAATCGCACAAACAATTGATCGTCCCACGAACTATATAACGCATCTATTCCTCGAGGGTATTCGCCAATAAGGAGCCGGACAAGAGCTTCCAACGATGATCCGTTACAGAGCAGACTGAATTGAATCATTCATTGACCTGCAGACGTACAATGATATTTGCTCCCGACTTGGCACGCAACAAACAAGTAATTTTCCCATTGGACTTGCTTGCTTGCTGTCCTGTCCTGTCTTGTATAATTCTATTCTTCTCTGTCTATCATCCTACCTGGCTACCTAGCCCGGTTCCGAATCGTATCACGATGATTCCCGCTCCGCTCTTCATTGTGGAGTTCCACCGCATGCATATATACATCATCAATGCATCATTTGAAAATCACGTCAACTTTGACGGTATCTTGCACGATGTAACAAAGATACACGAGTCAACGTGTGAGGGAAAAAGAAATAATTGGTTTGGTTTTCCCCTCGTGGTTCTGTGATGTCCACGCGGCGAATAAGTATGTACACTTGATTTTCAAAAACACTCATACACTGTACAACTGGTACACGACTGAATAGCACGTAGGCTTGAGGCTACACGAGAAAGTTGCATCATCTTTCTTGTGTCTTTTTTTTTGCAAGCGCGCTATGCGGCGAAAAAACATTTTGGTTTGTGTAATGTTTGGCATGTATGTAACATTTATTTTGTGTTATAAACGAGGGGGGAGAGGGGAGGGGGATGATATCTATGATACCCAATTAAATTCTCAACGCAATCAATGCCGCCATGATGTACGTCGAGACTGCAGGCCATAGTTGTACATCTAATTTATCGTTCAACATTGATGCATTCTTACTCGTGTTCATGAATCTCTGTGAGTTTTTTTCACCTGTAGCCTGACATCATCTAGACTTTAGATTGTATGTCTCCTCTTGCTCGCTTGTGACCAGTCCCGGACTTCCCACCATGGCATCCTCGCCTTTATTTCCTTTCGGGAAGAATATGACATCCCTGACACTCTCTCTTCCTGTCAATACCGCGACCCATCTATCGAAGCCAATGGCAAATCCAGCGTGAGGTGGGCAACCAGCTCTTAATGCTTCAAATAAATGGTCAAAATCTGACATTCTCTCGTTGCTCATTTTTAATACATTTTTCATAATGAATTTTTGAACCTCGGCTGAATGGACACGTTTTGAGCCACCGCCGAGTTCGACGCCGTTAATAACAAGATCATAGTGATCTGCGGTCACTGCGAGAGGGTCAGTGAATAGGAGGTCGATATCATCAGCCGTTTTAGGAGCAGTGAACGGGTGGTGGGTAGAAGAAAACCCTGATGTGCCGCCTTGACCAGGATCGGCTGGGTTGGCAGTGTTGAGAGTAAATAGTGGAAAGTCTGTGACCCAGAGATAATGAAATCCTGGAGTAGGAGCAAGAAGTTGTTCGGAAATTGCGGCTTTGTAGAGTGCGAGCCGGAATTTACCTAGAGTAGTGGAACCGCCCGAATGAGGAGTATTTGGTCGCGCTTGAAGGATAAGTAGATCTCCTTCATCAAAAGTGGTTGTTGCATCAGGTCCTCGTGGATCATTATTATTGTGCAAAGAAGGTGGAAGAGAAGAGTAAAGTTGTTTCAATGCCTCAGCACCTTCAAATCCAAATGCTTGTAGGCCTTCTAATGGCCTTCTAGGATCGAAAACAAATATTCCGGGAGGACCATCAGGATTTTTTTGGAATGCTTCGGCATCTGCAGAATCCATAAACTTGCGGATGAACTGTTGCACCTTCCTAGAATTGCCATTGAGCCGGAACTTACAGGCTTCGATTATGGGATTTTCAATCGAAGTCATCATTCCCTTAAGATTTTCTGGAATAATAGAATCCACTCGATGAATCTGTATTCGTTAGCTTTGCTCTAGAAATGGTCACAATTTGTTTACCAAGTCCAGAATTCTGAGATCGGGTTTGTCAGACCCATGCTTTGACATCGCTTCCTCATATGTCACCCTTGGAAACCCTGTTTCAGGCAATTCAATGTTATTGACGACTTCAGGCTGTTCAGATTGGATCTGCTTATGTATGCCCTTTACAAGCTCTTCAACTGTCTGCATGACATATGAGCCATCCGCCCATGACATTTCCATGTCAATCTATTTGGCATTAGCACTTGTAGACTGTACTAATTCAATGATACAGTACCTGAGTGAATTCTGGCTGCCTATCCGCACGAAGATCTTCATCCCGAAAGCATTTGGCAAATTGGAAATATTTGGTGACGCCACTTGCCATCAAGATTTGTTTGTATTGTTGAGGGCTTTGCGGAAGAGCATATGCATAGCCCGGTTTTCTAGTAGGGACAAGGAATTCTCTGGCACCTTCAGGCGTTGATTTGAATAAGATGGGAGTCTCAATCTCATCAAAGCTCACAGAATATAGATATTTTCTCACCAATTTAGCTAGCTTTGACCGAAACATTAATCTTTCATAAAGATCTGGCTCGAATCGAACCTCTAGATGCCTGGAATCAGGCCCGAATTTCTGGGCAGGTCCAACAACTATGTCTCGGGGAAATGAGTTAATTGCTCTCAAATCTTCGGCATGGATGTCAAAATTTGCAAGTAATTGAGACCGTTTCAAAGGAATTGAATCGGAAGCTTCCTCAGTAACCAGTGAGTCGGGCACAACTTCTGCCGTTTTGTCTGGCTTCTTTATTCTGGACTGTAAAATCCCAGTCACAGATACAGCACTGTGTTCTCTGATGTCTTTAAAAGTTTTGAAGGCATCTCCGATCTTCCCTTCTTCGGGGCTATCTTTTAATACAACCTGAATTCCTGGATTTGCTGAAGACCCTCTACTTATTGTAGCAAATATGAGTCCTTTACCCAGCTGCTTCTTATTGCGCAGGAAACCAGTAACAGTGACCTTCTTTCCAATATTCAAGGGTTGCAATTGTTCCCATGGATGTAATGGATCGAGATTGGGCTTTGGCAAAGCGACTTTATAGAGGATATCAGCGATATACAAAATATTATCAAATCAATGCTTACTGCTATCCTTGTATTCATTCCAAGGCGTGCCATTTGTGTCAATGTTAACTTGTTCTTCTGCTCCATTCAAACGAGAACTGGTACTGGTGAAACTTCTCTGATGAATAGCAAGTAATGAGGGAGAACCGTTTGTGCGAGTCCATGGTGCGGTTTTACGCGCACATAAGATCACATTTCTTAGTAAGTGCCTGCGATAGCACAATACTAAGGTCATGACTTGAAATCAATTTCTTTTGTGTAGAAGTTCATGAATCATCCGATTTGAACTGGAGCACTGTACAGTAATAAGTAGGTATATGGAGATTATAAATATATCTCGAAGCTCTCTAGGTGTGGTTAGCGTCTCGGCAAATTCCGCTCTCAAGAATTTTTATATTATGTCGCGAACTTTTCCAAATTCTCTTTTTCTCTTCATCCTTCCAAGTTTTAAACATGTAAGACCCCAACATTAACAAATCCAATCCATGCGCAAATGCTAACGTATGTTTGATAGATGATGAAAAGCCAGCGTGTATTATTTGAGTACGATTCCTCCTTTTCGAGCCTGCAAACTCTCCCTTCACCGGGCTTCAGTGGTCTGCTTGCGAGAACTGGATGGAAGAGTGAAATAAGCGTTCGACACACCCTCCTTGTTTTAACGGACGCGATAAAGGCATCTCTGAACCCTAAATCTTGGAAGGCTTCATTTTGGATAACTATAATATAATAAAGATGGCAACGGAGTCAATCATTTCAATGGTCATTCTCTGGAGCTCGACTATTATTCTTCTGGTCAAAGACATCCGTGCTAATCTAGACTTCATTTCTTCTTAATTTCATAGTTTATTTGTTTTGTTTAGGTATGTATTGGCGATATCAAGAACAAAAGAGCAACCGTTTCAGAATGGAAACCAGAACCATTTCTGAATCAAATGTTTTTTGTTGGAGCGGGGAAAAAGGGGTTGTGTTTTTTTGAAGCATTCTACTGTGGGGTCTTCATCCCAGTGTCATCCTCGAGAATGTTGTCTGTTTATTGTTTCCCTTGTTCGACTTACATAGATAGCTGAAAAATCAATCGTTTTACAAGTTGCCTTTAATTTTATACTTGTGACAATGAAGTGATGTCCATAAATTTCTTATGCGTGTCGAAATACTGGAGAATACCCCGATGCAGTTGTGGCTCATTACTATTCGCCAATCTAGATATCGATATCCTTGGGAAAGTCGTGGTACCTACTTGAAAGTTGCATTTGATCCGAGCATACAGGAGTACCCAGTGAACTTTGATGACGGCACTTGTATGAAGAAATGGTTGGTTGGAAAAAGAAAATCACGACAATTTGAATTTAAAGAAGAGTTCAAGCATCTCCAGTTAGGTTATGCGAGACGATCAGGTACCAAGCTAGGTACGAATGAGTCTCGCGGTACGCAGATACAATTCTAATTCATATAATTAATATATGAAGGTTTTCTCTTCTCCTTTGTAGTCTCTCATAGTCTCTCAGACTCTTATAAGAAGGTTATCACAGACCATATACATCAATATAAAAAACTGACGGATGAAGATATCTAACATCTTCGACGAGATACTCACCTAGTCAATTAGATATGTACTGAACTGATACCCGTAGAAGGGTTAGCATCTCGGACAATCGGATTGCTAGCTGCGTCTCTCGTATCCACTCTCATTGCGAACGGTGCTAGATTGGAATGACATGCCATGGAATAACTAAATCGGTAATGGTGAGGACCGTGAGGGTGGTATCCAGATGAGAGGGAAATAAAACAAACTTGATTTGACACCAAGTTGATCCTTATAGCTAGCTGACTTATTACTATTTACTATTGTACCGGCACATCCTCCGTCCGCACCTAGTATTCATTTGCATTGGTGCATGATTTGAGACAGAATTCATCATTTGCTCCTCAGTATACTAGGTAGGCCCGTAGGTATCTTCAATAATACCTTCAAGTCCTTTTGCATCCTCTTGCATCTTGTCTAGTCCATCTTGCAAGGGGTCCTTCATTAAATTATATTCCTTGTCATCATTTCGATTAAGCACAATCACGGCACCGCTACGAATGTGTACCTACAATCAAGACTAATTGATCTACCATACACGACAAAGCCGAACAAGTAAAACAAGCACACCCTAACAGACGTCGACTTTCAAAAGTTCACACTCCTTCTTAATATCTACGCAAACTTCTGTGCCACATAAGTCAAACAACAATCACACTCAATACCCCTTTGCTCACTCACAATTCCCGAATACATCCGGTCCTATATAATATAATATCTATTCCCCTTCGATAAGAGCGAAACTCGCCATTTGGGAGTGGAATACTCCCCCTGGCTTTATTTGTCGCATTGTAGCCGGCAATACCAATATTTGCGATGTCGAGTTCTTTTGAGAAATCCGTGAAAGGCGCGACGAAGATCAAGGTATGGCATGTTTGACATTGTCTTCTGTCTCGTGGTTGGAGATCATATACTGAGCATTATTGTGAATAGGCTGCCCCTCCCAAGTCAAAGTATTTGACCCCGATCAAATCCTCTGTCGCATCATTTAATTAATCACTAAACAGATACATCGAGCATATCTTGATAGCTACCCATTCAGGCGAAGCAGGAGTAGCTGAAGTATTCCGAGCGTTACAAAATCGACTTCGCGATTCGACATGGACGGTGGTATTCAAGAGTTTGATCACAGTTCACTTAATGATCAGAGAAGGATCTCCAGATGTAACACTGGCATATCTTGCGCGTCATAGGAACATGCTAGCAATAAGTAGTTTCACCGATGGTGTGTACCCAGAGAAAACTTCTTTCGCGACTCTCTGTATGATGGCTCAGCCACGACAGGTAATCTCATAGAGGCCGTGCTAACAGAGCATGGCAAAGTGCAAACCCAGGGACGGAATATCCGACATTATACAAACTATTTGACCGAGCGCGCGAGATCATTTCGAGATACCAAATGCGATTTTGTACGTGGTGCAGAGGGAAGACTAGAGAAGTTATCGGTGGAGAAGGGACTGTTGAGAGAAACAGAATCTGTGCAGCATCAGATCACATCATTACTGAAATGCGACGTACGATCAAAGATGCTCAAACTAGGGTGAACTATGCTAAACAACAGTTTAGGTTTTAGATAATGAGCCTGATAATGAGATTACGATTACAGTATTTCGGATGCTAGTATTGGATCTTCTGGCGTTGTTCCATGTCATAAACCAGGCGATGATCAATATATTAGGTATTTGAGTTTCTCGAGTAGGGAAGATATTAGCTGACAGTTGTAGGCCACTTTTTTGAGATGTCAAAACCCGATGCAGAACGAGCTATGGAGATATACAGAAACTTCACCCGGCAAACGGATTTTGTGGTTTCGTACCTTGGTGTCGCACGTCAATATGAGCATCAAACGCGAGTGGAGGTACCAAAGCTCAAGCACGCACCTGTCAATCTTGGAAAGCAGCTAGAGGATTACTTGATGGATCCAGACTTTGAGGTAAACCGAAGGCAATATCTTGCCGAACAGGAGTCTAGTAAGGGTGGAAAGGGTGGAACCAATGGCTCAAGCAAGCCATTTGCAGTACCTTCTAAGAGTGAAAGCGAAAGCAGGGCCGCGACTGGTCGTTCTTTTCCTGATGCAGGGCAAGCTTCTTCATCGAGCGCCACCACACAACCCCCTAAAGCACCCGCTGCAGATTTGATTGACTTCTTCGATTCCATTGAAACACCACAGCCAATTGCCTCCCAAGTAGCGTTGCAGCAGCAACTTCAATTTAACAATGACCCTTTTCAAATGCAACAACAACAGCAACTCCAGCAGAATGGATTCATTCAACAACAACCTGGCTTCCAAGATCCCGGACAATTTGCTCAACAGCAAGGCTTCAATGGCGCCTTCAATATGCAGCCACAGGTACCAATACAGCAGCAACCGCAACCCATGCAACCCAATTTTACGGGTGTTGGATTTGGCGGTTATACTCCTCAGCAACAATTTCAGCCATCGGGTCTCTCACCTATCCCACAAGAGTCGGCTGTAAACTTCCAGCAACAGGGACAGCAACAGCTGAATTTACAAACTCCACAACAGACAAATCCTTTCCGACAATCGATGATGACGAATACCACGGGAATGGCTGGACCTTCATTCCCAGCTTCACCTCCTGTCACATCACCAGTCACTAGGCAGTCAACAAATCCTTTTGCCAAGTCAGCATCACCGCAATCACAACCTTACACACCACCACCTGACCAGCAATTTCAGCAACAGCCAATAGCAGCCCCTCTTAGGTCGATGCAAACAGGCACAAATCCTTTTGCCAAAAATTTATCCATTCAATCAGCTGACCGGCCCCAAACCAGTGGCGCCAGTCTTGCGCCACAGCCTACTGGAAATACAAACCCATTCCGTCAGAGTCAATTTGTCAATACGGCTACTGGTATGGGCTGGCAAAACGCCCAGCAACCGATAGGTGGTGGTTTAGACCATCTTCCAACGGTTCCCGTATTTCCTCGGCCCGGGCAACAGCAAGCTTGGCAGCAGTGATCGAGAAGGTGATTCGTGAAGGAAAGTCCATATATATTTTGGACATCATTGTTCACGCGGACTTTTGTGCTATGATCAACATTTTTTGGTGTTTTAAGGATCATTACAAGCATGGCGTTCTGAGGGTATTGGAATTTGAAGATCGGAGCAATGTTTAAGGGCATTAAAAATGCACGATGTGATATTAAATTGCTTGTGCCTACTTAAGAGGTATCTAGCTCCAGGTAACTAATTACAAAGGCCTGTCCTTTGAATGTATAACTATGTCCAGATGATCTCAGACGCCAGTAACCATCCTATTTGTCTCTGAACTCCTTGAACCGTGCAGATCCCATCCCGTCCCTCTGTGTTATACACTAGATATCTTATCAAAATACATCATCTACTTCCATTCTATCCGCCACCTTTAGTTTTATCTTCCCCGTAGATGCTTGTGCGGCTGCTATGGTAGCACCAGCAGGAGAGCTCGATTGAACTCGATCTCGCATCTCATCCTCGATAAATATTTCAAGGCCACTAAAAGCATCGTGCATAGCTCTTCCATAATATTCATGAAGGCTGTAACCACCCGCCATGTGTTTAGGGTCACGCTTGACACTCTTCTCAACCCACTGGTTCTCGTAATCACCTTGTAATACATATCTCGTGGGCGTAAGAGCGATTCCTCCAAAGGGATCATAGGGTTTCTCTGCCACAGGCGCCACCTTCTTCTTTAGACCTCTAATCGTAAGGCCCTCCCCATCAGCGCTACCAGTTCCAGCACTGACCGCAGCATCCCTTTCTCCCAAGGTTCTTCTCGCCGAAGTCTTCTTCAAAATAATCTTGTGTGCTTGTTGTGTAATATCAGCTGCATTTCCCTTGCCGGTGGCTAATTGGTCCAAAACCTGCTTGCGACTCTTCTCAACATCAGCCTTCTCCTCTGCCTCTTCTCTCATAGCCGCCAGTCTCCTCTGCTTCGCCATCTCCCTGTCCTCTAATTCCTTCCTCTTCCCCATCTCCACCTCCCTTAACCTCGCATTCTTATTCTCCTCAATGGCTCCGCGGTTCGCTTCTCTAAATCTCCTTAGCTTCTCCTCCGCTTCTTGTTTTACTTTGCCCTTCCCATTCACCAGATCAAAGACCATGCATTCCGTCTCTTCTAAATAATTGTTGTAATCCAACAACGTCTCGAAATCATCTTCGTTGCGATTGAACACTTCGCCTACTCGACGTCGAATGTCACATTCGCGTTCTATTCCTAGATCCTCAAAAAAAGCGGATTTAAATCCTTTTTTTCGTAATGTGCGACCGCAGTGGAGAACGGGACAAGGCGCGGGGCCGGAGGTGAAGATGCGGTCCACGCAGGTGGAACACATCTTGTGGTAGCATTCTGGGTTGATGAGGAATTCGAGATCGCGGTTGAGGTAACGGTTGGATTTACATATGGGACAGATGTCATCGGATGGATTGGAGATGTCGAGGGGTTTAGGCATTTCTGTGTGCAGTGCTTCGGAGCACTCTGTAATGTTGGGGAGTTGTTGAAAGATGACTTAGTTCAGGTTCAATTGTAGATGTAGCTGGATTTGAATGTAAATGAATCGCTGGTGCTTCTATGAATAAAGACGAGGCTAAATTGAAGCCTGACATTTCAAATGTGGCGCTCAATGTGGCTTTGTAAGCAAGCCACCTCGGAGCCTTGTCTAGGTACTTTTCGATAACTGAACAGTAAGATCAACGATTACAAAACACAAATACTCTACATTATTTGCAAAGATGGCAGACAAAGGTGTGTTTATAACCCAATGCTTACTTCACATATTCATGTCTTAGAAAAATCTTGTGGCTATTCGCTCATAACTCGCACTTCCTATACCTGCTTCACCTTAGCTACCCCGCCATTCCCACCCTTCAACATTTCAACTAACCAAAACTTTCAGAGCCAACACCCCAAGAAGAAGCCGCAGCACGCGCAAAGGAAGCAGCAGAGCAAGCCTCCCTCCCCTACAAATGGACCCAAACGATTTCCGATCTGGACATCACCATCGAGATCCCCGGAAACCTCAAAGCTAAAGATCTAATCGTTGATATTAAACGCCAATCACTAAAAGTATCAGTTAAGGGTCAAACTCCTATTATTGACGTATGTGCTTTCTCGACCTAGATCTCCTCTGTTGACCACTCCTCTCCGATTGACATATTGCCATGTAGGATGCACTCCCTCACGCTATCCTCCTCGACGACAGTACCTGGACATTGTCTAGTCTTCCCTCTGGTAGCAAAGCTCTCGAAATCCACCTCGATAAAGTAAACAAAATGGAATGGTGGGCACATGTCGTCGTCTCGGCACCAAAGATAGATGTTACCAAAATTACACCTGAGAATAGTAAATTGGGAGATTTAGACGGAGAGACGAGGGGCATGGTAGAGAAGATGATGTGGGAACAGAGAGACAAGGAAGCGAATGGGGGGATCAGCAGTGAGGAGAGGAAAAAGAAAGAGATTTTGGAGAAGTTTCAAAAGGAACATCCGGAGCTCGACTTTTCGAAGGCACAGATGAATTGAGGGCTCCAATGTTTGAGGGAAAAATAAACATAATGGTTGCGTTGAAGAACCAAGGCGAGCAAAACGATGAGCATGCGAAACCTGCTATAGCTGATTGCACTACTTATGAAGATACCTATTTATTGGCGAAATCGAAAGACAAAAGCATCATTTTCTTTTAGGGTCCAAAGTTTGCACACTGACTGGCTTGCCATTCTTTTTTGGTATTGTACACCTCACTCCTATATCACATATTCTATATGCAGTCCCAAACATCCTCCAGACATTTGTACTTCGACATAACCACAATCTTATCTCTCTCCTGCCAATCGTCGACTTTGCACTTCGGAGAGCGCTTTGCTCCCACTCAAGAATGCGACTAGTCCTACAACGCCTGCAGCGGGTAAAGTCTGGAATAAGTTCCAGCTTGAGTAGTATAAGAAGAAGATTCCTTCCATGGCAATGATTGAGCCATAAAATAGGGCGTGTGAGATTGGTGCGGCGGAGGTGGCTTTCGATAAATGAGAAAGATTGGCTCCTAGGTAAGCCCACTATTGAGAAAGTGTTAGTACTAGGACCAAGAGATTTGAATGATGAGTACGTACAGCACCCAACAGCACTGGAACAGTTGCTAAGACTGCGAGCGCGAATACTAGGGAAAAGATCTTAGGTCCACTCTGAGGATCGGCGCGGAAGATGTGGTTGATCTCAGGCAGTTTTCCGTATCTCAATGGTTTTTCGTAGGCTGGTATTGGCTGGCTGGCATCGAGGGACAGAGCGAGGTCAAAAACGTGGTTGCTGAATGCTTGTGCAGGACCAAAGGACGCAAGAACAAGAGTGGCACGTAAAGGCTTGGAGCTTGTGAGAAGTTGGATTGGAAGATCTTTTTGAGACTTTATATCCATTAGCATGATCCCATCGATTTAGTCAATTGCCTGTAAAAACTTACAAAGTCAACCTTTCCCTTGCCAGACTCCTTCACGGAGAATGGGAAAGTAGCTTCGAGTCCAGTATCTTGATCTCTCAACAGTAAGAATGCTTGATGTGGTCGTTTAGCAGCACGATCTTCAGTGGCCGTGAGGACGATTTTGAGAGTGTCCGCTGCGCCAAGAGAAACCGCTTTCGCAAGAGGGACATGGTCTGATAGTCTGTAAAACAATCAATTAGTATGCTTTGCTTTGGAAACCATATATCTTTCAAAAATATATCAACATCTTCCCAAATCCACGTACTTGTCCTTGAAGCCTCCAGCACTCTTTCCGCTCACAGAAACAATAGCTTCATCAAAGCCCCAGGATGAAGCTGCCGTTACAATTCCGGCACCAGCAAGTACCAATGAAGGAATTAGAGAGCGTAAGAAACGCATTTTGATTGAGGAATTCGTTGTGTATTGGAATTTGGGAATTGAAATTCACGAGGGAAGCTCGGAGCCACGTAAGAGCTCCAATTGAACACATTTCGGGGACATGGCGGATTTACGTGGTACCGAGCCGATGCACGGATACAATATCGATTACGTGCCCGCTCTACGTCAGCGAAGCAACAAGCGGGAATTAACCACTCTTTAAAGGGACTTTAACAATTCAGACTCTTTGTGGTGTTATATCCAATGTAGATAATTCTAATTGTAAATATGAAGGAGGTTCAAATACATTCTGATCTTTTTAGATTCGAGTATTTATTTGAAAATGAATTTATGGTTTGTTTAAGTAGGTGATATTGAAAGTGATTACTGTAGTTTCAGCTGCTTCCTCGCTTACTTCGAGGGTCTGTTCAAATGCGTGATGGCATGGTTGATTAAGAGATTTGGACATGAATGCTTACATTACAATTTCATGTCCATCCGTTCAATGAAAGTATCTGAAGCCTATCAGCTTAGGAACATCCGACCAAAATGAAATGAGCTTTAGATGAACCAGCCTCCGAAAAGTCTAAGCAAACATTATTCTATTCGATCCCCAAGTTCTGGAGGAAACCCTCGGATTCATGGCTGGGGCTTAGATGGAAGCTGGATTCTGAATTGATGCAATATCGAAATAGTCATGGACAGATACACTCTTGCTCGTAGCTGAAAGAACGTACAGCGGGCATCATGTCAGACCATTGATTGAAAATATCTTGTGAATTTGAAATATATTCTTTCTGACTTTGTGCTTATTGAATACCCCTGTGTTGTCAATGTCAGAAGGTCAAGAATGATAGCTCATGGTGAACTATCTGGAGGGTGTGAAAGATGTAAAGTTAGTTTCGCCAAGGTGAGCTGGAGGTCTGCTCATTGTCTTTCATCAAGCTGACCCACATAAAGAACTAAAGTTAACCAACTGTGAGGCTCGAAATGATCATTGCGTTGTTGTAGGTATGATGATGTAGGCCTGTCTTGATCTAAGAAGAAAATTGATCACCAGAAAAGTGTCGTCAATTGTATTTGAATCAGTCTGTTGCATTCATCATTATATTTGTAAGCACAAGATGCCTTCTTCACTTACTATTTTACTTCAAGATGCTGATCTTTCTGAGGCCCATGCCATCATTCGACTAACGTTCCAAAGAAGCTAACATTTGCTATTGTCAAAGCTGCTAGTCTCGCCTTTTTTGGTACTCTGCTTCTTCACTTGTAAATGCAAGAGTGATATACGTTCTAGGACTAATAATTTTGAACGAGACCCTGGAATCTTCCAAAGGTAAAATGAAGGATATGAAGTCAATAGTGCACCTTCTACTCGATCTTCCTAGAAACGACACCAACAGTGAACCTCAAGATAGCAAATCAAGAACCAATCATACGGATAGAGTTCCTGCCATAGTCAATCCCCGTGGACTAAGCGAATTTGTCAACCGGATCCAGATCTGGATATTGGTTCGTCCAGAGTATCCGATAGTCTGGACTATAGTCCAATAATATAACAGCTTAAATGTCTAAAAGCAGTTAGAAATCTGAGAATATTTCAATGTTCCAATCAAATTCAATATCTCAGATGATTTGAATATTCTGATTGGCTTAGGAATTTTAATAATCTTTATTGTTGAACTGCAGTCCGGACTATTGGACACCCTGGCTGCGTCTCAGAACACTTTCAACTGTCAGTTCTGTAGCAACCAAGTCGATCGACACTTCCAGAAAATTCAATGACACTTTATCGGACTTTAGGACAGAAGATTTAATTCTCACTACACTGGCTTTCAAACAACAGATTTTATTAGTCTGTCATAATACGCAGCAAGACCCATGAAGGCCAATCTCTCGATGGCATAATCAAACAACCCCTCCAGTTAGATAGCAGATTGGGAAGATCTCATTCCGGTCTACCAAAACGCTGGCAGTCCTCTACTTGCCACCTAGAATACAAATTCGAGAGGAACTTCGATCAACATTATGAGCTTATTCAGACACACAGGTACTCGAAGCACTTGAAATTGAATTACCAGGCTTATGCTCAACAAATTCCTCGGTAATCATCTAAATCACTCAGCATCGATCAGTATTCCGCACCAACGCAAAGTATCAGAACTTTAGTGATATATCTCTACATTGACTCAATATCTTGACTATCCTCATCCAGTATGTTTAAACAGTTGCCCATATCCTCTCAACGGAACCAATTTTGAACATCAAGAGCTTCGCCTTCATTATTAGCTACGCCTTTGTGTCATACAAGGAGCTCAATTTGGAATTAAGTTTGGAACATCGGTTTGATACACCGTTTTCTGAAATGATCCCGTTGAGGGTATAAACCCGTTCGATGTTGAACTGATTGCTATATCCAAATCTCCCGATACGGACAAAAGATACTACTTTTGAGTATCGACGGTGAGCTTAAATGTCCAAGGACAATGATTGAGTTAAAGTTTTATCGAGCAAATGTTTCTCGCACTACCAAACATCATCACCAATACACACCGGCCAGTCAACTAGTGAATCCTAAATCTATCGCACATACATAATCCCAAACAAGATGCCTCCTAGTATCCGAACACATCTCCCATGGCGCAGTGGTACAGTATCCACTTCAAAATGGGAAAAAGATCGTTACTAGGTACAGTGATCCATATAGTACTGGAACAACTGGGAGAATAAGCCGAAAAGGCTGAACTTTTGCTGTTTTGCTTTGTTTTGGTTTGAAGTAGACAGGTTCCATTTTTTTGGTTGGTGGGTGGGGAGGGGGGATAGAAGATGAGACGAGAGTCAATTTTATATAAGTGATCGATGATTGATGGATGTCACACGTATGCAGTGGATTATTATTCGTAAGGGTATGAAAGTGAAAAGAGATCATGACTAAAATGCGACATTTGATAAAAGGGAATGAATGTCTTCAGTTCTTGGATTGGGAGTGTGCAACTACATTACAGCATACTTTGATAGATGGGCTGGTACTCTCTCTCTTAACTTTACTCCTTATCAATGAACTTTGCTCTCATAATTAGAGTCTGGAGCGACAGTTATGGGAGTGCTCCGGAAGTGCTATGGGAGTGCGTGCAAATTTGCGTTATGATGCTTCAATACAATCATATTGTCACATGATCGCAAGCAATTGCTTTCGAGGAGCTTAACTGGAGGGTAGCTCTTTCAAGGGCTTGAGTGATTGAGTGCTATATAGTAAATTGATTCTCGGTGTGTCTAGAACCTCGACTACGCCCAGGGTCACTTTGCGCGATTGCTATGGTCCATTTTTCCGCATTACCCTAAATAGAATAATGTCTTCATTGATAGGTAGTAAAACGAGATCTCTCCACTCAATCAATGTTGAGAACTGCACAAAATGAAGAGAAATAGCCGATTTCGAATGATAAAAAGCCAAACTACTTTGATGCAAGAAAACGTTGAGCAACAGCAAGTTTTGCTGTCGTTAAAGATAGACTGACTAACTGTGAACTCATCCCTTTGACCAATTCCATGAAACTAGCTTAGGAGCATCATGTTAGCACTCTAACTAGGCAAAAGAATCTAAACCGAACAGAATGAGTGTACCCTTCAAAGGCGAATACTATTTCATACTAGCTGTTCTACATCTACTTTCACGAGCTATTACCTTAAGTTGTTCATGTCGGATTAAGTTCGAGCTCGAGTCCGCCTGGATATCTTCATGGGAATATCCCATTGATATGTGAAGAAGGCGTTATGACGTTTCCAGATATGATTGGGATCCTCGAGTTTTATCTAGACAGCGAAACAAGTTTCAGCAACCAAATGCGATAAAAATTTGAAATATGGCGGAGGTATCTAATGCGGAAAGGTAAAGCTTGAAGAACTCACATCGAAAATACTGTATAGAGTAGCCATCGTTTTCCACAATTCCAGCTGAACGAAATATTTCCCCATACATACCCGACTACCACCGCCGAATATAAAATCGACAGTTTTAAGCATCTGTTTGTGACGAGTTTCAAAATCTTCTTGACTCTCTCCTTTCATTTGCAGCCAGCGATCGGGATCAAAGGAATCGACATCAGTTCCAAAAGTTTCAGGGTCTCGATTCGAGACTCCGGGGCTGATACCCACGAATGTTCCGCCTGGAATAAATCTTCCGTCGGGAAGAGTAAATCCAGAATCGGGAACAACTCGCTCTAACATCATAGCAGCACCCGGATTAATGCGCATAGCCTCATGGAGCACTGCACTCAAGTAAGGAAGATTATGTACATCCTTCCATTGTGCTGGCAGTGAGAGATTCGCATGGTCTAGCTCGTCGGTCAGTTTTGTGTAAGCGGATGCATTTTTGGAAAGGTAGTATAGAATAGCCCTCATGGTTGATGCGGTCGTATCGCCGCCTGCAAGAATACTGAGTATTAGATATTTTACAATTTGGTTGTCATTAATTAGGTCCGGGTTCGTTTCTTTGAGCTTGAAATAATTATCGAGGTAGTGGTTGATGGTTTTGTGCTTGTGACCCGCCGATAAGAGCTCTTCTCGATACTGAGCAACAACCTTAAAGCAGTACAAGATTCCCGTTACAGTAGGCCTGGGACCAATCCGAATTATTGGGTTCTTGTCAAGAAAATGGTCAATCCATGGAATTTGACTGACGACGGCGAAGTAGTAGAGCGACCTTTTGGATTCAAGAAGGATGTTATCGACATCCCTTTCTTGGTCAATCAATCCGAATGGTCGTCCAAAGCTGATGTTTGCCACCACGTCCCAAGCAACTGTTATGGAATTTCAGATCAGCACTGAAATTATTCTGTGGCAGCATGAAACATACAGTAAGCTAGCCAGTCATCCACCATGCATGTCTTCGATTCATCCGCAAAATTCGCACTTAGCTTATCGATGAATATCCCCAAAGTTTCATCAACCAAGGGCTCGATGTCCAGAACCTTTGTCATGGTCCAAAGACTCCTGATAGGTTTAACGTATTTTTCATGCCACAAAGGATCTCTAGAATTGAAAATATTTGACATCCGTTTCCCTTCAATAAGAGCATCATTAGGCTTGTACATCTCGTTCTAGCAAACAATTGTCAGTGCCAAAGTTGGAAGATTGTGGCCATTAAAGCTCCATTCACCTACCTTGAGCCAAGCATTTTTGGTTGCATATATCGTCCCAATCAAAGATGGATCACTAAGACTGATGGTTTTTGGGCCAATTCGAACAGCTACGCCATAATCACGATGCCAGTTTCTTTGCGTTCTGTCCATGGAGCCCAAGTACACTGTAAATGCACGATAAATGTTCGTGAACTTTGCAGCGACCGGGCCCGGGAAATGCCTCAATGGAGAGAAGAAAAGCTCCCAAGCAACCTTATAAACAATCGAGCAGAAAAAAAGTGTAATAAGAACGAAACTGCCATTTTCGGTGGAAAACATTATAGCTATGGTCCGATTCGATGTATAGCTCTTTGCAGTGGAAATGTCTACTACTTAATAGATTTTGAAGAGGGGTAAGATGTAATCATAGGATGGGATGGGTTAATAGACCAAGTACTTGGCTCGAGTCATGGAATCTGACAGGGTCAGCAATTACGATCAGGGTAGAAGATACGCGAGTGTAACCGTTGCGTTGATGATATGAATAAGCCTGCATATACTTATGCGGGTTAAAATGAAATCGGATTTTTGGCTTGCACATCATTCCTTCGAAGCGTAGAGCACTCGATTGGCCTATCATCTTTCAATATGGATGTGATATCAGAAAGCTGATTGTCTGAAAAGCAAGCTAACGAATTGCGACCATTCAATGGCCCATTCCATGTTTTTGATAGGAGGAACAATCATAGGGTTGAAGCGGCCAATTGTATTTAATGATCTTATGGAATTCGTCGTGGCGCCTTTGATACACCTTGCCTTTGCTGAACTACGCATGCAGAAGATGAGTGCGACGAGATTAAAGCGAGTACGTATCACAAAAGCCACCCAAGTAGATGACAAGTGATTCCGGGAAAAGTCGAACCGAGCTTACACAACTAGAGACTTACGCAACTGCGCACCTCCCAAGCTTTAGGGAATCTGTAGAATTCGTGTAGATTCAACAACGTCTTGCTTTGAGTCTCGATAATATCGACAACCGCGTCTTTCTGTTCAGAATCTGATGATCTGCTTCCTCTTATCTTGATAATTTTCAAGGCAAAAAGTCCAAGCTGTAGCGACTACTCGGAACTTTCTGGCTGCTCCTCAATATGTGCCTCCCGATGGTCAAACAAAAGTTGAATCTGCGATGGTTCGTATTTTGTTCATATAACGTCCAATATAATCTAACGGATCTTTTGGGTTTCGCTCTCTTATGCAAGTGCTTGCCTCAATGCATAGAAGTAACGTTGGGTGCCATGGGAAGAGATATCCAGCTACTCCCGCCATCTTATAGACCAATTTCCCTTGGCGTAGCTTGGCTCAACTACTGAGCCTTGCATCAAAGCCTCGCATTTGCGCCTGATTGGCTCTTTTACAACATTCTCCTCCCAGCTTGGCATCTTTTTGTGCCTTGAGCCCTTAGATACTTGAGATGGACTAGTTTCAGGGGGCTGTTCAACAATAAAGCCAAAGACAACAGCCCTCCTAGCTGCCCGCCGAACCATCTCTCTTTCTTCTGCTTGTTTTTGGCCATCAACCTTCTTCTGTAAGTCCGAAGCCGACTCCTCTGTTCTCTCAGCTTTACCCCTCTCGCCCCCAACACTGAAATTGATATCCGATTCAGTCTGTGGTGGGCGTATCATTGGCCCGGTTTTTGTGTTCACAGGCTCATCGGGCGCATCATCGCTAGCGGAGTCCTCACTACTTTCCATATCAACAGTCTTCCATTCTGCATCAACATTCGATCCTCCAATTGCACGACTTTTACGATTTTTCCTTCTCCCATAAACCTTTTCGGGATCAAAGCGACTCCCAAATACAATCTCTTCAATTTCGTCACAGGTAACAATAATCCGATGATCTCCTTTCACAAAACGATCCTTTGCACCAGTCTTTTCTAGACCCGAGTCTTTCTCCTGGTCCAACAGTGCAACAATGGCTTGCTCAATCTTTCTATCTAATTTCCCCGGCTTTCGATTCCGACATCTGTCTGAACAGTATTTGACCTCATTGTTGGGTTTTTTGCTTGCCTTTTTGGTGCCTATTGGATGTATTAGATAAAGCTTAAAAAATGTTCATCACGGTGCTAACTCATGACTCGACCACATGTTAGACAGTAAGGAACACTTTCTCCTGCCGTTAAATAGAGAGGTGGAGGAACAGCGGAATGTTTTGAGGGGCGCGACCACGAATCCATCCAACTCATGTTTGCTGATGTTGGAATTATATGGAGATTTCGGCGAGAATGAAATAGGTAGGTGAATATTTTGACCTGAGTGGGAAATTTGAAAGGGCTTAAAAAGCTCATATGAAACAATTTGATGATAATGATGCAGATATAAAGGAAGAACTCTAGCAAAGATTTTGATTCGTGAAATACCTTGTACGTCCAAGATCAATGTCATCATAGACATCATGGATCCATGGATGGAGCGTCGCCACCACGCCACAGTGAATTCCGGTGCATGGTGTGTGGCTTGAGCTTGATGATCGCCTCAATTCAACAAACATGAAGATTTGCAACTTGGAAAATCAATTTATTGATCTTTTGCTCACATGATTGGACTGATGAATATACGGAGAATGAGCAAACGCTAAAGAACTATGGATTGGAAAATGTTGATAATTTGAATCCTGATATAGAAGATTGAAGAAGAGACTTGGTAGGCGTTTTCGAGAAAACGAGGAAATGATAACACTAACACATGACTAACATAGGTAACTCACACATCCATATGTTGATGATAACGACCTGCCTCAAATGATTGATAACAATAACGAGTAAATAGCTCTTGATGCACGTTTTATTGAAGCTTCTCCACATCTTGGATTTAAGGGTCTTGCGGCGAGCTCCGACTTTCTTATCTTCTATGTTGATAAACCCCTCCTCACCAATACATTCAACTAAAAGCACTCAAATTCACCATATGCAAATCAAGAATGGCTTATCAAAGTTATTCCGCTTTACTCTTGCTCCAACCGGGGAAACGCGTGGAGTCAGTTCTTTTCCGGCCTTCCTTATACATAAATTCATCCTGCTCGATTCGGACATTTCCGTCGCCCCTCGCTCACAACTTGGATACATAAATCACTGACCTTCCACGGTCATATACAGCCAAACGCCGGTCACAATCTTCTTCCCTTCAATATATATTCCACACAAAACATAACATCTGAGCCCCAGAAAATCAAATGGCCGTCAAGACTTTAGAAGTGAAGCCTTTCTCTTCACAAGAGAATTCCTCTCTCAACCTCGGAGCCGAGATCAACAATGTCGACCTGGAACATCTCAGCGAGGAGGACTTCAAAACTATTCGCAATGCTTTATATAATTACCATGTTGTGGTTCTGAAGAACCAGGCTGGTCTCTCCCCCAAAGCCCAATATGAGCTTACACGTAGATTTGATCCCACGGCTGGTAAGTCCTTTCTCTCCATTCGTTTAACTCTTGTGTCTAATTATTTCCCTAGAAACATATGGTCATGGCAAAACTCTTGATGCGAAACGATCAGTTCTTCACCCGGACTTGAAAACAATCCCTCATCAAACTCAGGTTCAAGTCATCGGAAACGGGTTTTATGAAGAATATGAAGGATTGAAGAATATTACACTCAAGCACCCTCATCACAAAGTCTTCCATAAGACCGCTGTTCCAGAGGAAGACGATTTGGCGTTCACACGCTTCTACCGATGGCACATTGATGCTGCTCTTTATGCCCTCAATCCACCAAAAGTAACATCGTTGATGGCTGTAAAAGTTCCCGCTGGCCGTCGCCAAACTCTTCGTTATGATGATGGAACTGGTGAAGAAATCGATGTCCCTCTTGGTACCACTGCTTTTGTCTCCGGTCAAAACATGTACAATTTGTTAAGCGAAGAGGATAAGGAGTTCGTTTGTGGAGCAAAGGTAGAATACGCACCACATCCATATATTTGGATGTCTCCTGCAAGGTCACGCTCCACCGGCCTTGGTATGGTTTCCGATGGGAATGAGTTGCCTTTGTCTGAACTTCCTCCTGTTGATGAGAAGGACATCAAGATTTTGCCTATGTGCTGGAAGAATCCAGTCACGGGTAACTTGGCACTCCAAATTCATCCTAGTGCCATCAAAGCCATTCATCTACCAAATGGAGAGGTCATGACTGATCTCAAGGAAGTGAGAGATCTAGTTTATCGCTTGCAGCGACCAGCCATCAGTCCAAAATTCGTGTACCCACATGATTGGGTGGAAGGCGATTTGGTCTTGTTCAACAATCAAGGAGTCTTACATTCGGTCGTAGGTGCATTCAGTCCCGAGGAAAAGAGACTATTTAGACAGTGCAACATGGCTTCTTCCGAAGGAGTTATGGGACCGGATGGCAAGCTCTATTAGAAATGCAAAAAAGGATGGCGGATGATGGGTTTGGTGGGTTTTTTTGTTTGGAAAACAGGTTACGAACTCGGCGTTGTTCTACGTATCAAGCCTCACCATATGGGAGGAACTCGGCGTTTGATAACGTAACAAGCGTATACCCCTTTTTGCTTAGTTACCATAGATAGATATAGCAAGTACATTTTGAAATTTAAATAAAGACTTTTAGGCTTCTGAACCTATCTACACGACGGTTGTTCAATCGTAGCGGTTTAATTTTCACATGCTAATACATGTGATGCACGATGAATTTCACATGCTTTGAGCCCTCGCATCTTTCGATCTTCAATGTGGAGATCATACTTTGTTAAAGCCATCTTCTACACCAAAGATAATCAGCTTGAGATAAATGCTTGATTAACATCATCCAGAATGTTCCCAAGAAATGGTAGATTCTCAACTAATAATCTAAGCAGGGACTTGTGCAAAAGGCCAATATATTTTGCTAGCTTATTATCAGGTTATGTACTCGTGCGGCCAGAAAGTATGCAACTCCTGCCTCAATAGGATTAAGCTACTGTGGGGAAGCTTTATAGTGCTTAAAAGGGGTATAAGTCATTGAAATTTGTGCTGAAAGTAGTAGGGTTTCAATATAAACGAGCGATTCAATTGATTCAATTTTCCAAATCTCTATTTAATATAATAGGATTAGAAAAAGCAGTGGATTCCATTGGCCTATTAAAGCCGATATAGCGCATTTAGCGCCGGAGTTGCATACTTTCTGGCAGCACGAGTAAGATGCGAAATGAGGCTAGAACTAAGATAGCTTCGGATTCAGCCTTATTGAACGAGAAGGCTGTACTTTAATTTCTCTCCAACAAATAATCCTTAATGCAAACCACTATATAAGTTACAGCCTCGATTCTTATTCCAATTCCAAATAGCCGATTTCACCATAATGGCTATCGACGAGATAATTACAGACCCATCCCTCAAGCTTGCACTTGAAACTTCAAATCAGACGCGGGAACAAGCAATTGCTCTTCTGGACTTCGTATCGGCTGCATCTACAACCTCCCCTCCGTCGAACGAAGTTCTACTACAGATTTCTAAACAACAAAAACTGCTCCTTACATATCTCGCACAATTGAGAGGTCTACATCGTGATTCTCATGCCGGCGCACGAGAAACAAAAGCTTTAACCGCGGAAGCGCGTCAAGAAGTAGATAGGCTACATTTACAACTCCAAAATCTATACTATGAACAACGGCATTTACAAGGGGAAATTGCTGCTTGCGAATCATATGAGTGAGTTTTCAGCCAATTTCACAAGTATGGAACTAGGCAGTGTCGCTAATGCTATCCTATACAGTCATAAATATCAGCAACTTCCCCTGATACCAGTCGACGAATTCCTAGCGCAACATCCTGAACACGCTGACGCTGATGAGAATGCGCTTATGATTGCAAGAATAGATCATGAACATCAGGAAAGATTGAAGTTGGAGGAACAGAGACAAGGACTTTTGAAGAAGAAACAAGGCTTGATTGCCGATAATAAGAAGAGGAAGGATGATCTAGCTAATCTTGACAAAGATTTGGAAAAGTTTATCGATGTGAGTTTAGACCTTGTTACGGCGATATTCTAGATATCGTAACCCTCATGCTAATTGATAATAGGCTGCAAAACCGATACAGAAAACCTTCGAACGTGTGGTATGAGAAAGTGGATGATTGGCATATTAACATTGTCTGCTTATGGTAACCTTAGAGGTAGAATATTCCCTCCTTCGCGGAATCAGGGACGGCCATTGAGATTTCGTCACAGGCTGTGCTCCCGATATGGCAACAGAAGTAGGTACAACCAATTAAAGAAGGGTACCACAAGTGAGATTTTGCAGAGGTCGTGGATAGTGGAGAGCGATGTTAGGGTTGAGGGTGCCTGTCATTGGACTCGGATTGAATACGTAATTTAAATGTACGATGTAATATAAACACCAAAATCAGATTTGGAACCTGACTAACATGCTTCTTGGGACTTTCTGGTAACTAGGAGTGACATTTCAATTTTTAAATTTTTATATATTCATCAGCCCAAGCTTTCCTGATCTCAGCTTAACTTGGCAATCAGCACCGATTGGACGCCGGGCTTCTCAGATGCTGACATTCGCATTTTGGCCTTGATTTTCAAGCCACGCATCTTACCATGCTCTACAGTCAAGGAGTCAAGAGGAAACCAGCCTTGATAATGTACCTGAGAGATCAACACCGGTGCAACCCGTGGACTGGGAGAACAAACACCAGCTATTAGAAAGCCATGTTATATAACAGGAAGTCCGATATTGACATACATGCAACAGATTATCTGAATTTAGCGGTAGCGGACAAGGAACTTTTCCCGAGAGGTCTGAATATTAATAGGCAAAAAGCTGACAGCAAACAGCCATGAAGTCTTGGCTGGCTGTTCAGAGAGCAAAAACCCATCTGGGCGTAATTTTCATGGAAATATTGTTGGTCCGCTCGAATTAGCGATTGTAGGACAATGACTCTGCTTACTTACCATGTCGAGCATGTTTGCCGTTTCTACTACCTGGGTTTCTCTTTCTCTTTCTGTTTCCGTATCCGTTCGTGTCTTGGTTTGATATTTCTCCTGGAATCCAGAGCGTCCGATATGATTGTTTGAAATATGTTGAGATTTTTAATTGCATGGTTTGCGCTACTCGTTCTGGGTGGGGATAAGGTGACGGCGCAGTCGAGCACTACGTCGAGTGCAGTGCCGACGCATGTGGTTTCGGTGGGCATAGAAGGATTGCAGTTTACGCCGACGGAATTGAGTGCGAATGTTAGTGATGTGATAGGTATGCGTTTTGCGAAAGGAGTCTTTGTGTGGAGTTTGGTTTGGAGGATAGTGCGTTATGCTAATCGATGAATGGATTGTTAGAATTCCGATTTTATCCTCAAAATCATTCGGTTGCGAGAGCAGAATATGGAAGCAATAGAGCGTGTATTCCATATGAAGTTACGGGTATCAACAAGCGAGGGTTTTGGAGTGGTTTCCATCCGATCAATGTGGTTTTAAATGATGTTTGTACATTCATTGAGAATATTTGGAAATGCCATTGCATGATCTAACTTGAGAGTATTTAGCCCCCGAAATTTCAAGTCGTTGTCAATGATACTGATCCGATCTTCTTTTATTGTTCAGCTCCAGGAGCGTGCCATGAGGATGGAATGATTGGTGTGATTAATGCTGTACGTTCGACCGTTTCATGTCATTGGGCAAAGTTTGGTTACGAATACTCACGATTATTGATATTAGAACTCAACTCAAACATTCAAAAGTCAATTGGAATATGCAAAGAACTCCTCGTTACAGTTTAGTCCTGGCGAAAACTTCCCCGTCGAAGCCACTTCATCCTCATCTTCGACTGCTCGTCCGACGTCTACCTCGTCCTCAGGCGACTCCCCCAGCACCACCACCTCCACTTCCACAATAATCGTCACAGACTCTTCTACCTCGTCTCCCACTTCCTCTAAGCTATCCCCAGGCGCTATAGCAGGAATAGCTATCGGCGCATCCGCGCTTGTTCTACTAGCCAGCGCTCTCCTCTACCTCTGCAGCCGCCAACGCACCATCAAAGAAATAATCCATCACAACTCCCGTCCCTCAAACACGACTTCCCATATCCACCCCAATCCGCACCATCCCGGTGGTCCCAATCCCCAATCCTATATCGCGCCATCGGCAACTCTATCTGAAACAACATATTACAATAAACCTCAACATCTTATGACGGAAAATGAAATTCGCGGGCTGGGACAGTTTTCCGGCGCGGGAAGCGAAAATCATTCGCATCTTTCTGAATCGAATATTGAAAGTGAGGGGTATGGACGAAGCCGCAGTCGGAGTCCGGGGGCGGATGAATATGGTATGGTCATTCCGCCGTTGAATTTGGGGGGAGCTGGGAGTGGGAGTGGGAGAGGAGCTGAGGGAAGAGCGAGTCCGAATTATCAACAAGGGATTGTGAATTCGGGTGGGAATGTGAGTTTACCGAATAGTCCTGGGATGTCTGGATCTTTGGGTGTGCAAATGGTGATGGGAGAGAGGTGGGAACGAGAAAGGGAGAGCGAGAGATTGAGAGGACTGAGGTGCATTGTTCCTGATTCCCTCCCACCCCTCCCCCTTCCCGATTTTCAAATATAATTCAATATATCATTCACTAACTCCTTCAAGATCCTCTCCCTCCCCAGGAATCCCAAATCATTTCCACCCCCACGCTTCATCGTCAGGACCCCATGAATTAGCTACGCATCAGGATCGAGAGAGTTTGTGCGGACATGGGCATGATCGATACGATGATCCGGAAATGTGAATATTGAGTAATTTTTTCTTTCCCTTTGCCTGAACTGTGGATGTTTACCTACCTTATTAGCTGTTTTTTTCTCTCTTTCTACATGTGCTTTAGAAGGGGTTTTTGGGTTTTGTATTCTTGGTGTCTTATGCAGGATGAATGGTATAGATCTAGGAACTCATGACATGGTATGGCACATAAACGAACAAAAGCTGATTGTCAACAGAGATAGGAAGTTGGCGAATCAAGGGGGTGGGGATACCTTCTTTTGGGATGAGGGAGAGTCGCGATGATGGTTGCGAGAAGAGTTTTGTTTTTGAAAGGCGTTGGAGTCAGAGGCTGGAGGTACAAGAGAATATCTGGAATCGACTGTGGGAGATGGTTCGGTTAAATAACAATGCAAAGCTCTCTAGGGTGGGATAGGATATACAATAATAACAACGTATTAATAGTGAGTTTCGAGCCCAGCGGTTAAAGAAATGAACTAAGTGACACTTCTGATCATCATATCTACGTCCTGGAAAAATATAGCGTAAGAAAAAGGGTATCTTTAATTCTTTTGAATCATAACTTCATCTCCGAAAACAATAGCAACTCGAACGGTGGAAGTCCTTTAAGCAATTGGTTTAACATCACTCAACCATGGCAACCCCAATTTCTTCATGTCGACCGCAATTTGGAAAAGGTAATCCAAGCTACGTGGAATATCAGCATCATTTAGGTCACACAAAATAAATAGTGAAATCAAAACCTACCTCTCACACTGAGTCTTCGCCTTGTGTACCGACTCCCCCCAAACATAAACCCCATGTCTCCTTACCAAAACCGCGTACGTATCCGGATATTTCTCCATGGCTTCTTCCAGATACTCTGTCAAATCTTCTT